GTGGATGGTGTGTATTTTCTTTTGTTTGTCAATATTTTCTAACTTTTCTGTAACTGAATATACATTGCTGTAATTCTAGAAACCAAAGTTTCTTTTTTCAATTGAGAGAGGAAACTAGGGCTATTATAGCTATGATTTGCTTAAAAGAGGTTACATCATCTTTCTGTCTCTCTCTCTTTTTACCCATTCCATCAATCCCTCACTCTATAATATACATTAGATTTTTTTTCCTGGCTCACATGCTGTGCAATCTGGCTGAGGTAGGAGGTGAAATTCTCTTGGTTTAATTGCTATGGCAACAAGAGTTACATATAATTTAGTTTAGCTCTTTTCACTTTATAAAATAAGGGACCCGAGGAGATCCTACAGAGTGATCTTTACTGAAGGTCACAAGGTGAGTTGTATAGCAACCCCTCTGATTTCCAGATTCCCGGTTCACATATTCCCAAGAAACTGGCTTATGTCCTCATCCATGATCCTGCCTGCTAAGCTGGCTTTGGGAAGGGGATATAGCATACCTGCTAATTGGAAAACCCAAGAGAAATTGTAAGTCAGTTAAGCAAAAACCCCTCCTTACTTTTATAACACTAAAGTGAACTCCCAAATGTCAGGAAACAGGAAAAAATGTACTAAGAGAACAAAGAGGGTTTTCCATGTTTTTGAGCACTGATTCCTTTTGGAAGACACAGATTGGGAAACAAGGTGATTCTGGGATTCAGTCGCTCACAAGTGCCCTAGGTTAATGACTACCAGACCTGAATATGTAAATTAAATCCTGAATATGTAAATTAATGCAATATATGTCCCTAAGTAACAAAATAGTTGATATATTTATGGTAGACTGCCAACTTCTAACAAGATAATAACTGTGTGGCTTTTCATATATTTACTTTCTCCCATGCATAAACAAAGACTCTGAATAACACATATCAGTGGTTCTACATGTGATCTGCAGTCCGTGGGGGTGGAGGCATAGGGAAGGGTTGTTGAGGTTAAAAGGATTCCGTAAGAATACTAATGCAGCATTTACTTTTCTCACTCGGTTGATATTGGCAATGATGATGAAAACTGTTGGCACCTTAGAACAAATCAAGGCAGTGGCACCAAACTACCCTAACAGTTGTATTCTTCACTGACACTCCCTTATGCAAAAAAAATAATGTCAATTTCACTTTATTTTTTTATTTAAAAAATTTTAAAATATATTTTATTGATTTTTTTACAGAGAAAAAGGGACAAGGATAGAAAGCTAAAAACACCGATGAGAGAGAAACATCTACCAGCTGCCTCCTGCACAATCCCCACCGGGGATGTGCCCGCAACCATGCCCTTGACCGGAATCGAACCTGGGACCTTTCAGTCTGCAGACTGACTCTCTATCCATTGAGCCAAACCGGTTTCAGCTCAATTTCACTTTAGATGTCATTGATGAAACAGTTAAAAAATATTAATTTTACTAAAGCTTATCCACTGACCATGTATGTGTGGCAAAGCATGAACAAAGCACGTCTGCATTCTTGAACGTAATGGCTGTCCAGAGGATTTAGAAATCAAAGGCAAGGGCAGACCCTCTGAGGACAGACAGAGAGGACAGCCATCTGCAAGCTGAGGAGCGAGGCCTCAGGGAGCCGACCCTGCTGGCATCTTGATCTCAGACTTCCAGTGCCCAGAACTGTGAAAAAATAAATTTCTGTAGCTTAAGTCAAAACACAAACAAGGCCGAAACTGGTTTGGCTCAGTGGTAGAGCATCGGTCTGTTGACTGAAAGGTCCCAGGTTCGATTCCGGTCAGGGGCATGTACGAAAAACCTGTCACTTAAAGGACAACTGACAGTATGTTACCAATGATAAAATTTCAGCTTTCAAATGAAAATGTTGAAAAATTGTATCTGCCACTGTGAGCCTGCCAGCTTCTTAATACTTGAGACTTTTATGATGAGATGAATAATGACATTAAAAGGAGTATGATTGATACTGTACAATGAAATGTGTCAAAATTAGGAAGATCTGTTTAATGCAATGAGCCACTATTTTCCAAATGAGCATGCTTGTATTATAAAATCATGCATGTGTTTAAGACCCATTCAAAATATAAGACAGACCCATGGATTTTAATGTTAACAGAGTAATAGAAGTACATTGGTAGTTTCATATTCCACATTGTAACTAACCTTTAAAAAACCACCACTTGTCAAACTTTGATGGGTATTAAACATCTATGATTATCTAAAAGAGCTGTTAAAATATTATTTTTTCCAACTACACATGAGTGAAGGATGGGGTTTTCTTCATCTTCTTAAGCCAAAACAATCAGTGCAACAGATTAAATGCAGAAGCAGATGTAAGAATCCAGCTGTTCTCTATTAAGTCACACTTTTTTTTTTTTTTTTTTTGCCTAAGTGCAAAAGAACACCACTCCTAGGATGGTTCTTATAAAAAAACAAACCTACAAAACACATACACATAAAACCCCCACAAACGTTGGTGAAGATATGGAGAAATCAGAATCCTTGTGCATTGCCAATGGGAATGTAAAATGATACAGACGCGATGGAAAACAGTAGTGTGGCTCCTCAAAAGATTAAACATAGAATTAACATATGATCCAGTAATTCTACACCGAGGTATAGATCCCAAGGGATTGAAAACAGACTCAAACAGATATGCACACACTAAGGATCATGGCAGCATTATTCAAAATGGCCAAAAGGGGGTAACAAACCAACTGGCCAGGGACAGATGAATGGACAAACAAAATGTGGATTGTCCATTAAGTGGAATATTACTCAGTGTTAAAAATAAAGGAAATTCTGATGAATACTAAAATAGGGATGAACCTTAAAAAAACATTAATCTACGTGAATTAAGTCAGTCACAAATAAACAAATATTGTAAGAGGCACCTAAAATAGTCAAATTCATAGACAAAAAAAATATAGTGGTTACCGGGAAATGGGAGCGGGGATAATGAGAAGTTACTGTTTAATGGGTATAGTTTCAGTTTGGGGTGCTGAAACAGCTCAGGAAAAACAAAATATAATAGTAATGGTTACAAAACAATGTGAATGTACTTAATGCCACTAAATTGTGCATTAAAAAATGATTAAAATGGTAAAAAATAATTTGTTGTTAATCCTCACCCAAAGATTTTTTTTTCATTGATTTTTGGTGAGTGGAAGGGAGGGAGAGAGGGTGGAAAGAGATAGTGAGAGAAAGAAACATCTACGTTGAGAGACACACATCAATTGGATGCCTCCTGCACAGGGTTGGAACCTGCAATCCAGGTGTGTGCCCCAGGATGATGCTCCAACCACTGAACCACACTGGCCAGGGCTAAAATGGTAAATTTTATGTTATGCCTATTTTACAACAATTTTTAAAAGCTGGGGGAAAACCCTATAAGAAATATTAACCTCACAGCCGAGACCAGTTTGGCTCAATGGATAGAGCGTTGGCTTGGGGACTGAAGGGTCCCGGGTTCGATTCTGGTCAAGGGCATGTACCTTGGTTGCGGGCATATCCCCAGTAGGGGGTGTGCAAGAGGCAGCTGATCGATGACTCTCATCGATGTTTCTAACTCTCTATCTCTCTCCCTTCCTCTCTGTACAAAATCAATAAAATATATATTTTAAAAAAAGAAAAGAAATATTAACCTCACAATGCCACTCTTCTCACTGATTTTCTGGAGTTTTGAAAAATAGTTACTTTTATTAATAATGTAATTTACCCATGCATGAGTTTATCAGTTTTTTTTTTAAATAAACTATAAATACTTGAAAAATCTCCCTGTTTTCATTTCTAATATGGTAAAAATGGAAAGACACAACTCACATAAAAAGCTCTTAGGTCCCAGAGTAATTTTTGAGAGGTAAAGGAGTTTTGAGACTAAAAAGTTTGAAAACCACGGTCTTACATGAAATTTATTTTCTCTTCTCACACTGCATTATGGGAAGATCTTCCTCTGTTGGTATAGCTTTATTTGCCAGTTCTACCACTTGCAGCCTGCAGACTACAAGGACAGCCTGAACTATGGTCAAAATCATCTTTTAAATTATTATTGTCCCCAGATGCACCCTAACCCTAAGGACTAAGCAACACACAGATGAGTGGCAATGTACAATAGCAAACGGTTAAAAGCCTTCAACACTGATATGTTCCAAGGCGTTTTAGGAAGAATCAAGAAACACAAATTTCCTTTTTTTTCTGTTGGACCTTCATTCAGACTTACAGTTCCAGGATAGATGTGGGAATGGATGGGGTCGGACATTGTTTCTGAAAACCACTCCATCCAGCGCATCCGGGCAAACAATTTCATTCTCTTACCATGCTGCTACCAGTCTGTTGCAGAGGGGTGGGGTGAGGGAGCTAGGAAGCGATCCAAAACACCGCAGCCCGAGGCTGCCCCACACCTGCCCAAGCAATCATCTCCTCCATTTGAAGCCAAGTCCATGTGCCCGAGCCAGAGGCCCATGATTTTAGGGAGCGGGGGGAAGAGGGAAATAAAAAGGGATATCAGTTAGCATGCACGGAAATCAGCAAAACCACAGCTGTTTCATCTTGTGTGGACGTTGCATGATGTGCATGCTAAGTGTGTGTGTTGGGGTGGGGGAGGGGGGGTGGCAAATGAAAAATCGCTCTTCCTGGGCTGCAGCTGCGGCACTTTCAAAGCCGTGTCTGCAGGGCTGGGTGCGGGCGAAAGTGGAACGGGTTTCTCCTCCGCACCAGTTCACCGCCCTCATGCCTGGGGGCCGGGGCCGCCTGCGGGCTGCAGCCGAGGCGGCTCCAGACAAAGGGGCCTGCACGGCCTCCCTCCCGGGGGCGCGGGGGAGGGAAGGTGCCTCACCTCCCGCGCCAGGTGTCCCCGGGGCGGAGGGAGGCTCCCGGAGCGCGCGGCCCGGGGTGTGAGGTCGGGACGCGCCGGGCCGGGGCGCTCGGGGCCGGGGCACCAGCCCCCGCCCTGCCCACGGCCACGGCCACGGCCACGGCGACCGCGCGGGGGTACCTGTGGAGGCCTCGCACCGCCCAGAGGCACCGGGCAATCATGGGCGCGCAGGGCGGCGGCGGCGGCGTCCTCGGTGCGGGGCGGAGAGGCGGGGCGCCGGGCCGGCGGCGGCCTAGCGGAGGGGAAACGGCGGCGGCGGCGGCGGCGGCGGCGGCGGGTCCGGCCGAGCCCTCCCAGGTGCGGCCGCCCCGCGCCGGCCCCGCCCCGCCCCGCGCGTCCTGCGGCGCCGCCCCCGGGGCGGAGCTGGCCAGACCCGGCGGCTCGCCGCGGAGCGCGCATCCCGGGGGGCTCGGGGGCGGCGGGGACGTGGGGGCCACCGCCGGCGGAGCTGCGATCGGGAGCCGGGCGCCAGCCCTGAGGACTGGGGGCGGACGGACCCGCAGACGGACACCCCCGCGGGCCCGCTGCCGCCGCCTGGCATCCTCTGTGGCATCCTCTCCCTGGTAAGGGGCTGCGGTCGGGGCGGGGTACATCTCCCGCCGCCCAGACGGGGCCTGCGCCGCGCACCCCGCAATATTAGTCAGGCCGGAGGCAGGCCCGGGTACCGGAGGGAGAAGGGAGGAGGTCCCTGTGCTCCAGGGAGGATAAGGAGAAGCCTGGGAGAGGCTGGACATTTCCATTCCCCTCTGCGCCCCTGTTTCCCCCCCATTCTCTTCTCATCTTTTGCCCTGGGGGCCTTTTTTTCTTTCTTTTTGTACTTGCAATCCCATGGCCTAGAGGCGGGGCTCGCTTTTAAAAACAAGCACACGCATGTAATAAACATCCTAGCGGTGTGGGTACCACACCCTGGCTGTGAATTAGGGACCTGGGAGCAGATGGACGGTGCGATTTGGTGCACATAAGCCGCGAAGGCCGGCTGGCCCTGCGCCACTGTTTGGAGGCGATAGTATTCCATGTGAGTGAACGTGACCCAGAGCTTCCAGCTTGTCCACGAGAGCACTGGTCGGCTATTAGTATCCATCGACGTGGGTAATGATTTCCTGACACGTCTGGTGATTAGATAACGAATGCCATTTTTATTAAGAACGACACTCAAGTGATGGAAAACCTCTCGTGAATATACTTCATTAAATAACTGCCCCAGCCTACACAAGTAAGGCAGGGTATAAATTATGTGTACATTTTAAAAACCTCACGAAATAGAGGAAAATGCTTAGGATGGATCAGCTTCTGAGTCAGCAGTATGAAACCTTCAATTTAGTCCTGAGGCCTTTGGGGGGATTTCTACCCTGTAGCTCTACCCCAATCCTTACATCTCTCTGTACCATTTGTTAAGATACAGTGAGGAATTCAGGGAGAGTCAAAGCTTATGTTATACATGTTTTGAGGAAAGAAAAAAACCTTCACTTTTGCAAGGTTTATGCTTTTGCAAGATATAATGAAAATATATAATGCATGACTGTAAGAACACCTGACTCTTTTAAACATAGAAAGGAGTGAAGATAATACAGATTTTAGTTTTTGCTTTTTTTGCTTTCAGTGCAATTTATAAGCTTTGTCATCTATAATCTGTCTGACTGATTCTTTAAAATATCTTAGTTCAGTGTTTTCCTTTTTCTTATCAAATGAAAGTATTGGAACTTAAAAAAATGTCATCAGTCAAGCACCTCGTGTATGCCGTTATTCGTTTCTTACGGGAACAAAGTCAGATGGATGCTTATACTTCGGATGAACAAGAAAGTTTGGAAGGTAGGCACCTGTTTTTATGTTCATTTGTATCATATTTGTAAGTAAGAACTAAAATAGCTGTAAGCCTGGCTTTGTGACCTGTTATAACAAAATCAAAATAGTTTGCAGGCTTTTTAGAAGAGAGACCTAACTATAAGGTTATCATGAGTTTCCATTCTCTGAGGTTTGCGTTGTTTGTTTTAATTAACAAGAGAAGGGGACTCTTGTTTAGTTACTGAACAGCTATTACATGTCAGAAACTATGCTGTTCCTATTGCAGGGAATTTTTCTTCACAGTGACTGCTAAGTTAGTATTATCCCCAGTTAACAGATAAGTAAATGAAGCCAGGTTAAGTAACAGGGCACAGCTAACGTGTAACAGAGCTGAGATTTAAATCCCGGTTTTTCCTCTCAAGATCTTGTTGTATCTTCTTCTTATTAGGAAAGCATTCAGTTAAGAATCAATATATGGAAATGCCTTCGTCATTATGAAAGCACCATGTAAAAGTCTAACAATCGTGTCACTATTATGCTCTGACAACTTCCTGTTTGGGGACTTGGAATGAGAGGATTGCACCCTTGTTCTATGTGAGCTTTAAATACTAGAGTCACGCATCTGTTAAGTTGAGCAGGACTTGCGTGATAGATAGCATCACGTGCTTCCCTGACAGCATCTGTTCTGCTTCGTGTTTCTCTGTTGTAAATGTACATTCAGTATAACCATAACAAGGCAGGACTCTGCACATGGGCTTGTGGAGGGCCTGTGAGCCCAGCTTCCTGATGGCCTAGAGACTTAATTATTACAATGAGACGGTGCATTGGGGAGAACATCAATCACAGTACAGCTTGAATTTCCCATCTGGAAGCGGTTTCTCCTATAAAGGGGACAGACACCTCTATTAATTTTAACAAGCACTTCCCTTGTGAATATGCCTTTAGGAGGTGGGGATGAAACGGGGCATTCGCTCTAAAACTGCTTGCAGGCGGGGGGATGATGTTTTTCCAGGTGGCAGTGAAGGAGGCGGGTGGCTCAGTTGGAGAACATTACAATCAGTCCATGTAATAGTAAGGTTGGCTAAGAGCATGTGGAGGGAAGGTGACTGGTTACCTAAGGAGGGTGGTGATTATGGCTGCTCTGTAGCAAACAGGTAAATGCAGTCATTTCATAAAAGATGTTTCTTCTCCAGTCAAAGGCAATATCATACTTTTAAGGGCCAGAAGGAGAATTCGGTCTAAAAACACACACACACAGAACAGCAAGATGTTGTATCCTATTTTTAGAACGGTGTTCAGCCAAAATGACGTGCCTTCAGCTGTGTCTTCTATGTGCACTCAGAAATGGTGCCAATTGTTTTTGACCAACCCCTATTTTTGACTCCGTGAGTCTAATTTTATGGAACATGAAATCATGTGGACATGTCTGCCCACCTTCTAGACATTTAAAAAAAAAGCCTTAGAAAAGAAGCTGACGTTCTGGAACCAGCTTTACCACCACAGTGAGCTGGGGCATTATTGGCCCTGAGCCTTCTCCTTAGTGTGTCTCCCACCCCTTCTGATGGTTGCCATCTCCTGACAACTGCTTCGTGCTTTGAGGGTTGTGGCTCCTGCTCACTGTCACTCTCTCTAGCACTACTGTCTTAATTCTTGGCAGGTTGCAATATACTCACAGCTGGTTCTTGCAGTTCCCTTGGCTCTCAGTTTCTTGACCTTCCTTCCTCCAATGATTTGCTTTCAACCACTCACTCCCTTGCTCAGACCCTAGACCAGTAGTTCTCAACTCAGGGTGATTTTACAATGTCTGGAGATATTTTTTTACTGTCGCGCCTGCGGAGCTGGTATTACCGGCACTGAGCGGATAGAGGCCATGGGTGTTGCTACAATGCACAGGATGGCCTCCGACAACAAAGAATTACCTAGTCCAAAATGTCAGTAGTGCCAAGGCTGAGAAACTCTTCCCTAAACTTTGTTATTACCGTGGTGTTCCCTCCATAATCTCTACCTTACTCATTTCATTTGACCCCTACTGCTTGTCTTGCCAGCTCGCTCCCTCTTGAATCCATCCCCAAACAATTCTTCCACCTTACCAAGGCCTCCGATCTCTTGACCCCTTACCTTTTCACACCCCTCTTCTTGCCTAATCTAAATTCCATAGTTGATCATCATATTAATAATCACACTCTTGTATATCCCTCCCTTCCTTGCAAAACCCAACCTTGTTTAAATCCAGTTCTTCATCTACTCTTTCCCATATCCATGTGAACGTATATCGATGGAGCAAAATACAACCTTGCTGACTGGTCCCACTTCAAATTCATGACCACAAGAGACAGGAAGAGAGAGAGAGACATATCAATGTGAGAGAGACACATCGATGGGTTCCCTCTCGCATGTGCCTTGACTGGGGCCAGAGCCTGAATCTGCAACCCAGACATGTGTCCATGACTGGGAATCTAACCCAAGACCCTTTGGTCTGTGGGCTGATGTTCTGATCACTGAGCCAAACAGGCTAGGGCATGCCCAATGTTTTTAGTGCAAGTACAACTGAAGTGTAAGAACAACTGCTTGGGTCCTGGCCAAGTAGCTCAGTTGGTTAGAATGTGATCCCAATATGCCAAGGTTGTGGGTTCCATCCCCATTCCGGGCACATACAAGAATCACCCCATGAATGTACAAATAACAAATCGATGTCTCTTTCTCTGTCTTTCTCTCTCTCTTTTCCTCTCTCTTTAAAACAAACAAACAAACAAAATAACTGTTTGGCAGAAGTAAAAAAAAAAAAAAAAAAAAAAAGGGATGGGGGATTAAGGAATAGGTAAACAGTCAATTATTATACTAGTATTTTCTACCTAAAAGACATTTTGTAGTCGGTAACTTATAACTTGCTCATTGAGTCCCTTTTCTAAGGAGAATTGTTTCTGTGGATGGTAAAAGTAATAATGTTTTTTTCTTGATAGATAATTTTCTCAGGACCACAGTTAATACATAATGTATCATTTAAAAGTCATGCACAGCCGAAACCGGTTTGGCTCAATGGATAGAGCGTCGGCTTGGGGACTGAAAGGTCCTGGGTTCGATTCCGGTCAAGGGCATGTACCTTGGTTGCAGGCATATCCCCAGTGGGGGGTGTACAAGAGGCAGCTGATCGATGACTCTCTCTCATCGATGTTTCTAACTCTGTATCTCTCTCCCTTCCTCTCTGTACAAAATCAATAAAATATATTTTTTTTAAAATAAATAAATAAAAGTCATGCACAAATCTAAGTGAATCTGTTCCACTCTGTCTGGAAGTACACTTGACACTTTGGCCACATTCTTATTGTGGTAAGCCAGGAGAGCATTCCTTTTAAACAAGAGCACTAGAAGGATAAGAATCTGCCTCCATTCCCCTCAGTGGGTGCTTGTAGAGAGGACAGGATCTGCTTTCTTCACTGTGATTCCCTAGTTCAGGCCCCTGGGTTGTTTAGACCATTGAAGTGGGAACCCACTGGTTTTCTGCTTTCATTTTTTCTCTGAGCATACTTCCGTCTCTAATCCATTCTCAACCTTCCTTACCAGACTTCAGATCTGAACACAAATCCAGTTATGTTGTTCTCCTAACTAAATTCACTAATAGCTCTGCATTTGCCCACAGCATTAAGTCCACATCCTTTACAAATGTTATTTAAGGTGTCTTGTCATACAGCAAAGACTTCCTTTCTCGTATAGGTGCCCACCATGTCTCTCCACCCAGTCCGTACCCGGGTTATACCCCAAACCAAAAGTAGATAATGACTTGCTTCAACAAAATATGATGTAATCGAAATAGAGAATTATTGAGAATTATATTCTAAGTAATATTTTTCGTAAGTGAGGAATAAGAAATCAAGTTGTCTTCCCTCAATTGCTGGTCTATAAACAGAAATTTCTATTCAGCTCAACCATTTTCCTTATGTTCTGTGATCATAAAGCTGAATTACCACAGATGGCAATAGAGTGCAGATTTCTACAAAAAAAAAAAAAAAGAAAAGGAAAAAAAGGTTTCTTTTTTAGGTTGCTAACTTCTTTTTCCCCCCCCACTGTTAAAATTTGTCTCAAGTTGCAATTCAGTGCTTGGAGACAGTTTTTAAGATCAGCCCAGAAGATACACATCTAGCAGTTTCACAGCCTCTGACAGAAATATTCACAAATTCCTTCTGCAAGGTAAGCTGCCATGGTCTTCTCATTAGTGTCTGAGTTAAGTTCGACGACATTATTACATGGGATTTGTTCACATATAGGGGTCAGGCCTAGAAGTAACTAATTTCTTTCTGGGTATAAGACAGTCCACATGGATAGGACTTGTGACCTAACGCATAATTCTTTTAATGTGCTTTAGATTTTCAAAATCGTAGTAACTCTCATCCTCTCGCCTCCTTTTATATTTAAAATATCTTAGTAGACTTTTTTAATATATATTTTTTATTAAATTATTATTTTTGTACATATACCAATGCCCCCCCCCCCCTTAGTAGACTTTTTAAGTCCTTTACAGTGTCAGAGCATTTTTAGATTTCTGACATCTGAATTGATATTCTCCTAAAACATGGGTTATAAGTTAAAAACAAAAGGTTTAATGTTTAGGAAGTAACCACGTAGAAACAGATTCATCAGAAATGGAATTATCATTTTGAAACAGATGTAATCAAGTCTAGCCATTGATGGGCTCTTTAAAACAGGGAAAAGTAAAAAAATAAATAAAATAAAACAGGGAAAAGGGTCAGGGTCAATGTGCAAAACTATGATTGAAACCCAATTTTTCCGATTCCTCCTCCCCACAACTGTTTGCATGTCTCTGGTTTCTGGCCTCTTCAGGAAACATGGGCCATAAGATTGTCTGAAAAAGTTTAAGTTTAGTGAGTTTGAGGCCCACAGTGATGTCCCATTTTTTCATTACATTTTGGTGCCTCATAAACTTTTGTTTTTCTAGCTCTGTGCTCAATCTTCAGTACAGAATGGGAACTGGGGTGAGAAGCTGAAGATCATTTAAAAATGGAAAATGCATGTGTTTCCAATCTCACTTAAGATATTTGTAAATTTTCATTTAGTTCATAAGTGCCTTTGCTTTAAATCTTTTTAATGAAAAGGGAGTTTGAGGATGATAGTAGGTGCTAAAAACAGACAGAGATTTTATACTGTTTTATCTTATGGTAAAATTAATATATACTCATTGTTTTTTAAAAATTGGACAATATGCCGAGACCGGTTTGGCTCAATGGATAGAGCGTCGGCTTGAGGACTGAAGGGTCCCAGGTTCGATTCCGGTCAAGGGCATGTACCTTGGTTGCAGGCATATCCCCAGTAGGGGGTGTGCAAGAGGCTGCTGATCGATGACTCTCTCTCATTGATGTTTCAAACTCTCTATCTCTCTCCTTTCCTCTCTGTACAAAATCAATAAAATATATTTTTAAAAAAATTGGACAATTTGGAAAGACATAAAAAAGAGACGGAAACTTTTATCTCCAAATATTACAACTGTTAACTTTTTGTGTGTACCCTTCCAGTCTTTGTTTTTTATACTGTTTATATGTGTGTGAGTAATAGGATCTTATAATAAATACTTTTGTTGGTAAACTGAATTTGGCTTACTAAGATATCTCTTAGGATATTAAACATTATATTTCAAAATCTTCACTAATAAAAGCAATCCCTTGAACATATTTCTATTCCTATTTTTCATTTACTGGTTCCATTTTATATCCATGAAGTAGGATTTCTAGGCATAGGGGAAACAATTAAAAAACAAAATTTCAGTTTACAGTTGCCCATTATCTTCTAGAAAAATTCCACATATTCTTTCTCCCAATAGAAGTAAAGGCTTTCCCCTGTTCTTGCTAACATTATCATTTAGGTGTTAGACTTTATGATGTGAAATTAAAGATGATTTACTGTGAAATGGGTAATGCATTATTACATTACTTACAGTTCTATTGGATGACTACTAATGTAGCTAAGTGGAAGTATATTAAATTTTTAATAATTTCAGAATGACATTCAACCTCTCTCAAACTCAGTACCTGGAGATGTGGGAAAAGCTGACCAATTAAAAGATGAAGGTAAATATTTCATAGAAAAATTATTTACGTGGTAAAATTTTCTGAAACTCTGGATTATGTGACTCCATCAATGGATAAGAGCCTGGCTTATACTGTGAAAGAGAAATGGAAGCGATAGAGAAGACATCCAAAAGTATAGAACAGATTGTGGCTTGTTCTGAGAGAACCAGACCTGTTGTGTATAAAACTTGCAAAACAAAAACTTAAGGGTCATCACTTGTAACTGTCTGTGTATACTTTAGGATCCCAAGTTCTTCTTTATGCTTAATCAAAGAGATGGAGATAATTGTCAGTATTATTTTAACTTTTGTATATTTAGTGTTTTTGAGTTCTTTGAAATTTTTCTTCTAGCCAACCAGTACCTTCCTGAAAGATTGATTTCAGATATTTTTTGTGTGCTTTGCTTCTGAAGAGCGACAGAGAGAGCTGATGAAATTAAGAAGAGTTCTTTGTTGTTATTCCCTGCCATATCACAGAAATACTGGCACATCTGATAGGGTTGTTTTGACAATTAAAGGAGACAATTTTATAGGAGAGTACCATGTAACTATAAAGTGCTGTGCAATGTTTAGTTATATTTATCTTCACAGAATTTATCATTTGTGTCTTAAGCTTTGCATATTAAATATTTTGTAACTTGAAGCTTTTTCGTCAATATGTATAAATGTATTTATATGTGTAGTCTATATACACTGAGTGGCCAGGTTATTATGATCTCTGTATGCATAATAATCTGGCCACTTAGTGTATATCCTATATACTAAAAGGCTAATATGCAAATTGTCCCCTTGACCAGTTCTACCAGCAGGCAGGCCGGCCAACTGCCTATGTTCCCTCCCCCTGGTCAGGCTGGCTGGACCCCATCCATGCACAAATTCATGCACCTGGCATCTAATACACACACACACACACACACACACACACACACACACACACACACTCTCACTCTCTCTTTCACACACACACACACACACTGAGTGGCCAGATTATTATGTGTTCAGAGTTCTTAATAATCTGGCCACTCAGTGTGTGTGTGTGTGTGTGTGTGTGTGTGTGTATAGTATCTATACATTTGAGGTAGTTTACAGGAAAATACATATAATAGGTTTTAATAATAATAATAATAATAATAATAATAATGTAATGATAATAAAACACCATCCCAAGACAAAAAGTTCCAATGACAATAAGGAAATCCAAATAACTCAGAAAATGTAAATCTTTTACATGGAAGAAGAAAATTTCTTTAAGTACCTCAGCTAATGTAGTTAACGTCTTGCTTAATCATAAAAGCTATGTATTCTTCTTAGTTGATTTAAAAGCATTATATTCATTTCTTTTTGGGTGTGGGGAAAAATTAATTTCCTTAACTTAAAGAAAAGCCTTATTGAGCTATAATTCACATACCATTGCAATTTACTCCTTTAAAGCATATAATTTCATTGGTTTCTAGCAGATTCACAGAGTTGTGTAGCCATCACCATAATTATAAAGAAAGTGTGCACCCGTTAACAGCTACTCTTTGTATTCACTTCTGACTCTTAATTTGCAGTAAATTTTTATGATTTTTACGTGCTTTTGCCTACCTGCATTTAATTTAATCTTCCTAGTTCTGTTCCTGCAAAAAACAAAAACAAAAAAACAAACAAAAATCTACTCTTCCTTCTCCGATTAATTAGCTAACGATCTATTAAAAAACAAACCTAATTGGAAAGCTTCTGGTTAAGAGACAGCTTGAGGAATAATAGAGCCTTTGGGGATGTAAATCCTCTCTCCTAATTCTAGTGTTTTACAGTTTTTAATTTTTTAAGAATCAGGTCTTTTTTTCTCTTTAATGGCATACAAAAGATAGCCACAAGAAATCCCATTGTTAACCTAGCTAAATTATTCCTGGTGTATCTGCAGACGTTCTTCCTGAAAATCAGTACCCTGTGGGCTAGCCATGTATCTGAAATGTTTTCTTTATAGAAATTAATGTCTAATAAGCTCCTTTTCAAAAGAATCTGTGTCTGGAAGAGATAGCATACAAAAATATTATTTGCCAGTAACATATTAGCATGATTAGCTTTGTCGCTTACCCACCACACAGCAGTGGTGAGGGCTTGGCTGCTCGGCAGATGGTAGTTTTGACAGGGAAGGAGCGGAAGGCCAGGACTAGACTGAGGTGACAGTTGAGGAGGGGGCTGCATTAAGATGTGGTGGCTCTAAAAGGAAGGGAAGAGATGAAAATAGAGAAGGTGGGAATAGATTAAATTTTCCCATGAGGTAATCATAATTGTTGCATTTACTCACTATGGAAGCCTGAATTTTATAAGATATACAAACCTTAATTTTATTAAGACTCCACATTGTTGAAATCATTCAAACACCCTGAAGGCTAAGGAATATCAACTCCATTGTACAATATAAAATTTATCTAGTATGTTGCTGAAATATGTTGATCGCCTTCATATTATTGGAGTTTCTATGATTAAAATGATCTTTCAGACTTTATATTTCCCTGTATATTGTCTTACTATGTCTACTGATTACTTTCTTTTAGGCAATAACCACATGAAAGAAGAAAACTATACTGCTGCAGTGGATTGTTACACACAGGCAATAGAACTGGATCCAAATAATGCGGTTTATTACTGCAACAGGTAAACTGGCACAACTGTGACAGGCTTACAGCTCTAAAGCACTTGCATTAATAGCTCTGAAGGAAAGCTATAAAATTTATGGATAAAGAAGGAAAACAATAAACCCCCAAATGCATACACTTATCATTAAAGCAACCTCTGTTACTAACCTTTCGGCATATTTTGTTTGGCATAAGCTTCATTCACTAGGCATATCATAAACATGTTCTTTTATTGAAATCCATCATAAACATTATTTAAGTTGATATAAATTAGTGTATTATTACCTCTTCATCTTTTTTATCATTGTGGTGGCAAATATTGTGTTCTTTTACTAAATGGAATAATGTACCTCAATTTACTTAATGGTTGACCTACTGGGAGACATTGTGGTTCTTTCCTGTCCCCCAATAGTATAAAGCTGCAATGAACATCTTTCTAAAATGATTATTATTATTTTTTTAGACTTTGGGTTTATCCTTGAAAATTCACTCTGGTCTGATAATATAAATATTTAAAAATTGTTTATAATGTTTAGTTAATTTAAGATCAATTTAAATTAATTAATTTAAATTTGAATAGAAGCATGGCGGCTTGTGCTACTGGTATGACTGTCTTAGCCAGTCTGAAACTTTATATAACAGAGCATAAGCACCTAGTAGTCATTAGGTTCACTAGGATTTGTCCTTGGTTTGTTAAATTTGGAGTTGAATCTCAATTTGGCCACTTACTAGCTACGTGACCTTGGTCAGCCACATAACCTTTTTGAGCCTCATTTCCTTGTAAAATAGAGATAATAGTTGTGAGGAGTAGTAATATAAAGTCCCTAGCATAGTCTTGGCTTTCAATATATGTTTCTTTCAGAAACAATCCAATTCCTAGTTGTAGGAACAGGTTTTGGGTATAATTTATTTATGCATAATAAATTCAGGGTGGGGGGAAAGTAGGTGTACGGTTGTGAGTACCAAAAACAAAGAGTATATTCTGGTATTACTATTTATTAATTAGTGTAGTATTTTCCATACAAACAACTATAAACCTACATTTGCCCTAGTCTGTAGTATGGGAAATGTAAGGCACCCTGTGATTTTTCTGCCTAATTTTTCATAAAAAATAGAGTGCAAGTAATTCATGCTCTTGCTCTAACAAGCTAAAGAAAGCAAGGTTGCCTGAAAACATAGTGACTTTGACTGTAGTGTTGTGCTGGAATTCCATTAGTTATGCCCTGATAACCAGACAGCAGGGGCAGACAGCCCAGACCGCATTGTTATTCAGTTCAGACACTGGCATGTTTGGCTTCATCTCACAAGAGATTCAAACGTAGCCTGACTTCTATTCCCTTTTCCGGCCTCAGAGGCCTTTCCTTTGTGAGCTGCACAAATCTGCTTTCATCCTAGCTTGCAGTTGGTGATCTAAAGCTATCAAGATTGAAAGTCATCCTCTTTTTTCCACTGACTCTTCTTTCTGGGTTTGACTCTTATGGCTTCAGTCCTGGTTTCATTATCAGTGTCTGAGGCCAGCAATCAGGGCGTCTTCTGCTGTTTCCCTTTTACCTCCCCAACAGCTCATTTGTTTCCTCCTCCTTTGGCACCACTGCTCCTTAGCCCGGGTGCTTAACGTTTGCTAAGCGAGTGGTTTACAGTTTCCACTTGTACTCCCGTCTTCAGTCCAAAGGATCTAAAATGTGAAATGAATCATCTAATTCTTGCTTTCTGTTCACTAGTTCTAAATAACTTCACGATTGAATTTAAGCTCCTTGTCATGATACATAAGATCTTTTATAATCTGGGCTCCTTTTTTCTTTTAACTTTATTATCTCTACTTTTCTTCTTCTCCTGCTACTCTTCTCTCTACTCTCTACGTACATGTAATATGAAATTTACTGACTAAAAAAATACCATGTTAGGACATCTCTCCATGCTTTTATGTACTCCTTCCTCTGCCTGGAATATTTCCTGCCTTATCTTATTGGTCAACTGCTAGTCATCCTTCAAGACCCTGGTAGGGATTGCTTCTCTTGGGAAGGCTTTCTTAATTTCTCTGTCGGCAACCTCCTGACCATGCCCCTACGCCCCTAGCCATGTGTGGATGTTCAAAATGTATATTAAATTTATTAAAATTAATAAAATAAAATTGCACTAGCTTATCTCAAGTACTCTTTAGTCACATGTGGCTAGGTGTTACTGTACTGGCTAGCACAGACAAAGAACTTTGCTATCATGGGAGTTCTAGTAGACAGCTCTGCGTAGGGTTCACCACACCTTTCCGTGTTGTCTCTTCCTTTGATACTTCCATTGTATTCCTCATACTATTATTTATTTACATGTCTTTTTCTCTATTAAACAGGGAAAGATAGGAAGACAGAGATATATTTTCTTCATTTCCCTATATCTATCTGGTTTTGAGTTCAGGATTTAACATGTTGTAAATGTTCACCAAACGTTTGAGTTGAATTGACTCAGTGAGTTTTAGAAGGGAGAATTGCCTCAACTTTAAAGACTTCTAACGTGAAGCAGTCACATGGCAGCATGTTGCATATATGTGTGTATATATACACTATTGCCTCATATATGTCTATAAAAAAGAGCTTTCTTAACCTTCTCCCTTTTCCACTGTCTTCCTCATTCCCCTCCCCTAGTTTTCTGAGCATAATTATAGACTTGTGAATTTTTAAAAACTAATAGGAGCTGTGTGGAGAGGTGGTAAGGGGCTTCATTACATTGGTAAGTCCAACACTTCATTCCAGAAAGTCTGCTAGAGATAAACTGGAAGGGATTAAAAAGTCCTTACTTGTTCTGGAATACATATTCCATCTAAGTAGGTGGAATACACTGCCATCCTTATTTACAGCCAGATTTAGACACATGGTTAAATTGGGTTTTTCAATTTAGACTTGTCTGGTGATCTTAATGTTTCTAGTATAGTGATCATTTAACACACAACACTCCGAATAGCTATTCACAGCAGTCAGTCACTCTGGGTGGCTCCTTAGTAATCCCAAATGTCCTAGCATTCTCAGTTTTCTGTTTGGCCAAATTAAAAAGGCAATAAGTAAGTAGATCGGTTGTGTGGCTTGCATATTTTGTCTTTTCTATAGCAAAGCGAACAGTGAAAGGTAACTTTCATAATTTCTCTGAATTTTGTGTCTGCATTTTTTTTCATTTGATTGTAGAATTTTCTTAAGACAGTTTGATTTAGATGTTTCCTGGGAATGATATATAAATTGAGACAAGGAAAATGTTGTATTTGGATCTGAAAATCTACATTAGTGCCTTGAAGGATGCTTATAACAAAAAAAAAATCTCTTCCTTTTCCCTTAGGGCTGCTGCTCAGAGTAAATTAGGTCACTACACAGATGCAATAAAGGATTGTGAAAAGGCAATTGCAATTGATTCCAAATACAGCAAGGCGTATGGGAGAATGGGGTAAGTTCTGGGAGAATGTTCAAAGTAGCACCGAGTTGTGTCAGAGATGCTGTTCTTACTGGCTTGATTTTTAATTTCCTGCTTAATATTGCATCTTTTCAACTAATTAGAAGGTAAATATAACACTGAGTGAGGAAATGACTGCAGTATCTGTGACTTGGGCGAGAGAAGATTAGTTGTATGAAGAATGGATGGTTAGTAGAGAAAATCATATAGCCATAACGAGTAGACTCACTTCATGTAGTCCTAATAGATAATTCCTTCTAAGCTCACCTTACCACTCTGTGTTGAGTGCTTCACACCTACTCTTCTCTCTTCAAATTTCCTCTACACCCTCCATGGTACTCTTAGCGGATGATATTACTTTATACTTCACTGAGGAAATGAATGCATTTAGAAGAAAAAATAGCTCATCTTCCTGCTGCCAAATCTACTGATCTACCTGCATTTGTATCTACACAGACTGCCTTTTCTCCTGTGAAATGGAAGGGTTCTTATCTAAGACTGGTGCCTTCATGCACGCTTTAGATCTCATCACTTTGTACCTTCTCTAGGGCTTTACATTTGTAAACATCTGCTTTATCTTTGGCAACATCAGTTTTCCTGTCTATAACAGTGATAATGACTGCATGGGAAATCATCAGAGAATCCTCCTTTGGAGCCATCCTTGCACACAGCTTCGTCATTTGTTAATTCCTTTCTCTTCAAAGCCCCTCATGGCAGTCTGTTCTTCCTGTCTCATCTTCCTCATCTCTCAGGCTCTCCTCAGCTCATTCTATATCACTCATCAGAGAGCTCTATTCAAGGTGACCAATTGTTCATATTGTGCTAAGGCCAAAAGGCAGTTCTATATCTTCACCTATCCATCTTTTAATACATTGCATGATTAACTTATTTGGAAACACCTCATACTCTAGGCTTCTGTGACTTCTTCCTCCTCCTTTACTGGAAGTTCTTTCCCAGTCTTTCTTACTGCATCTTCCATTACCTCCAAACAATGGTGCACTTCAGAGCTCCGTTCTCTCTTCTGAGGCTGTTGTCTGTCTATTCTCTCTTCTGATTTCATCCTGTCTGCTGCCTTTAAATTCCACTTAACGTCTATATTAATTAATTGGATTGTTCTGTATTTATGAATTCACCTACTTGCTAAAAAATGTTTGATAACCACCGAAACCGGTTTGGCTCAGTAGAAAGAGCGTCTGTCTTCAGACTGAAAGGTCCCAGGTTCGATTCCAGTCAAGGGCATGTACATTGGTTGCAGGCACATCCCCAGTAGGGGGTGTGCAGGAGGCAGCTGATTGATGTTTCTCTCTCATTGATGTTTCTAACTCTCTATCCCTCTCCTTTCCTCTCTGTAAAAAATCAATAAAATGTATATAAAAAATGTTTGATAACCCCAAAATCAAGTCACTGTGCTTTTGTGTTCATTCCCAGTGTAGTGAAAAAATTTGGGTCACCCGATGTTGCATGGTCTCAGCTGAGGTGCATAAGGTGATACTCTGCCTTTTTTGTTTCAATTCTCATGCTATAAACAAGTGTTCTTTTTGCAGTTTATTTATATTTTTTGCATTTTTGAGCCTTTTGTTGTTGATTTCCCAGTTTTCCATGGACCCAAACATAGACTGAAGGGTTGCCTAGTGTTCTTAAGTGCAAGAAGGCTATAATGTGCCTTTCAGAAAACATACACATTAGATAAGTTTTGTTCAGGCATGAGTGAATGTTGTTGGCTGTCAGTATGATGCTAATGAATTAATAATATACACTAAATAAGGTTTCTTTAAGCAGAATCACACATAAAAGAAGATTATGTATTGGTCATTTGATGAGAATGTTGTGACCAAAACCTCACAGGAACTTAACCCTGTATTTCCCCTAGAAATAATTGTTTAGTATTTGTTAAATCAGTGTTTTGGGGACTTTATAGAGCATAACTACTCTGAATAATGAGAATCAACTCCATATTTTTTTTCAACTCCAGATGTTGATGGATCTCTTAATTTACTATATATTTTAAGCTATATGTCTGAATTCCATATCATATTAACTTCTTTTCATCTGTTTATATGTTTAACTAGAGGCCCATGCACAAAATTCGTGCATGAGGAAGAGAGTTGCAGGGGGCAGCTCCCTTAGCCTGGCTTGCACCTTCTCACAAATCGGGACCCCTCGGGATAACTGGCAGTCAGATATCCATCTTGCAATCCGGGACCAATGGCTCCTAACCCCTTGACTGCCTGCTTGCTCAGTCACCTCTAACCACTCCTGCCTGCTTGATCGCCCTGTCTCTACTTGCCTGATTGCTCCTAACCATTTGCCTGCCTGCCTAATTGCCCCTAACTGCTCACCTGCCTGCCTGATTGCCCCTAACCACTTGCCTGCCTGCCTCATTGCCCCTAACCACTTCTGCTTGCCTGCCTCATCATCCCTAACCACTTGCCTGCCTGCCTCATTGCTCCTGACTGCTCACTTGCCTGCCTGATCGCCCCTAACCACCTCTGCCTCAGCCCTGCCAAAAAACGTCTGGAATGACATCCGGAAGGTCATTTGCCTCTCCAGTCTAATTAGCATATTATGCTTTTATTATTATAGATAGGCATTTTAAATTTAACATGTCCCATACAGGACTCTTATGTCCTTCTTTAGTCTTTCCCATCTCAGAAATGTTATCATCATTCACCTACCAATGCTTGGGTCAAGCCTAGGAGTCATCCTTCATTCTTATTATACTTATATTAATTATATTATATTATATTATATTATATTATATTATATTATATTATATTATATTATAATCTACCAGCAAGTCCTGTTAATTCTAGTTTCCACATACACATATCTTAAATTGAAGCATTGATTGCTACCTTGTTTATAACACTAGTCCAAATTGCCATCTCTTACCTAGGCTACCACAGCATCTTCCTAAGTGGTTTCTCCCCTCCCCCTTTCCCTCTCCTCCAACTAACACCCCATATTGGTCCTCTGCCAGAGTGAGCTTTCCAAAGCATAAATCACATCACGTCACTCCACTGCAACTAGAATAAAATCCAGACTCCAAACCTATATTATCTGGCACCTGATTACTCTCTGACATCACCTCTTTCCAACGGCTTTCTGTGCTCTCTCCTCATCAGCCTTTGTCCTGCGCTTGGAGCATACCTCGCTCGCTGGCTTGGTTCCCAGACCTTTGTGTCTACTGCTGTTTCTATTTAGCATGCTACTCCCTGATCTTCATATGCCTGCTTTCTTCTCATCATTCAGATCTTCTTAGTGCGACTGCCTTTGAGCAGCTGCCCCATTCATTCTCTTTAATATTATTCTTTTATTTGCATATTTATCGTTTGTTTTCCCCAGGTAGAATGACATTTTCTTAAATTCAAGAACTTTACTTTCTTTCATTGTGGAATCTAAGAATTTATTGACTATTGATTAACTGAGGACTTTGATAAAGCATCTTTCAGGTTGACTGGTAGAAAACTAATGAGGGTCTGAGAATTTTTCTGTGGTTAGGCACCATATTTTATCCAGATTAGAAGTCTGTGAGGTAAGCCATCCGACTTAGTTTGTTAAAAACAAACAAAAACCTCAATACTATATCTCCATTTATACCATTATCAAAGAAATTTTCTAATAAATACATTCTAACTAGGTGGAGGAAAATATAAATTTAATAACTAACTCTGTGACTGTGGTAATGTCTTAAGTTGTAAAGGATGCTAATTTTATCTATGTAACAACTAACATGTCTTGTTCAGGAGTGCCCCACAGCCCATTTTTATTTTTTAATAAAAAATTGATATTTATCTTGACTCAGTGTCTCTGCTAGGACGTATGAAGAGAGTTGGCATTCTGAAGCACAAATCTAGTTCAGAGTCCATAAAATGAGTTTAATACCATGGAGTTTCATGACCACAGGATGGTTAGTTAGCTAACATCTATGTGCAGCTTATATTTATAAAACAAATTATTTCACATATAAAGGGGGAAGGTAAGGTCCATTCCTAAGCATTAATTTCATGGTCAATATAAGCTAGCCAAGATTGTCAGCAAGCAGAATGGAGAGTCCAGACTTACAGAATCTTGGGAATAGAAGGAATTTTAATGAAGCTCCTGTGAACCATAGTATAATGAATAAATTAAGTATAATTTGGATTCTAGTTGAATACCAAGACATATTATTTTGTAATATCTTGATATTTAACCTTGTATCTTATACCCATATACTTTTAGGCTGGCCCTCACTGCCATGAATAAATTTGAAGAAGCTGTTACAAGTTATCAAAAGGCATTAGATCTTGACCCTGAAAATGATTCCTATAAGTCGAATCTGAAAATAGCAGAACAGAAGTTAAGAGAGGTATCCAGTCCTGTGAGTTATTAATGCTGAATGAGTGAAATATTTTCTGTCATTCACAGTTTATTGCAATGGTTACAATAATCCTCATATTTAATTCTTTTACAGACAGGAACTGGATTTAGCTTTGACATGACTAGCTTAATAAATAATCCAGCCTTCATTAGTATGGTAAGTGCATTTCCTTTTCTGCTTTGCTGGCTCTGTTTTTCATGAAGCAATATAGTTCTAACACATTTTAGAAACAAATAAGGGAGCTTTTGTAGTGGTGGTGGCAGCGGCAGTGGTGGTAACAGGATGTTGATATAATGCTATGGCTGAGATTTTTAACCTGCCTGTGTACCTGTTTGTGAGAAAGCCATGGATAGACTTCAGGAAACCAAAGGATTCCCCGAAATTATATATAAAAACTCGGGTACATATGGATTTGTGCATTTTTTTTTAGGGAGAGAACCATATTTTTTATTAGATTGGCATAGGGATCTGCAAATTTACAAAAGGTTGAAGACCACTCTTACAAGAAAATGGCCCTATGAAGATACCTAGTAACTGAGGTCTGAGGATTTGGTTATTGTGGTTCCCTATGCTCTCCTTTCACCAGTCTGCTTCCTTTCTGTTTAGTTAATTTTACTTTTTAGTATAGTCTATAATAATAAAAGTGTAATATGCTAATTAGACAAGACAGCTGAACAACCTTTCTGGATGAAGCCCTGGCAACGGGGACTGAGGCAGAGGCAGTTAGGGGCGATCAGGCAGGCAGGCGAATGGTTAGGGGCTATCAGGCAGGCAGGCAAGCAATTCAGAGCCAGCTGTCCCGGATTGTGAGAGGGTGCAGGCCAGGCTGAGGGGCTCCTCTCCCCGTCATGCATGAATTTTATGCACTGGGCTTCTAATTCATATATAAACTCCATCCTTCAAATCAACAATATTATTTATAGACCTTTTGAAAACACACATGCTCTGGTTTGGTATATGTAAACCCTGGTTTAGTGAGTCAAGGATGTTACCTGGGTACATAAATCTCCTTGGGAGACTGTATACTTCTGGCTGAGAACTAGTCTACCAGACGCTATGCCCTTGGAAGCCAGTAATACTTCTTTGTTTCCTTCATAAAATGCCTTGCATCCACTACATCTTCAGCTGACTTGAAATACAGATGGCGCATTCCTAGTGAGATAGAAAATTTTTGAACAATTGGTAGGTCTGAAGCAATTGGTAATTTAAAATTGTTAGTTGAAGTCTTTGTAAACAGTAGTTATCTTTTAATCACGGATCCTAAATGATGTGTTGGGAAAGCCACCCCTTGCTTTTATTACTAGAGAAATACTTGTTGAAGTGTCTTGCAAGAAATTCAGTAACTCTTGAGTCTCAGGATTGAGGCGAAATTTAAGATGGTCTTGCTACCTAACCACAGTAAATGTATGTCTCTTTATAGGTTTTGTGAGATTTTTGAGCATTGTTACCCCTATCTAGGCCTCAGGTTATGCTGTGGTAGTAGGATGTGAAAATGGATTTTAGTTTCCAATTCAATTTAGCCCTCAAGGTGCTTGAAGTGAGGTGTGAGACTGCCATAGAGGAGGTGCAGAAGGTGGGGCTTAAACACACTTCGGGTGACATTCTTAAAAAGGGTCAGGTTGATAGAGATTAAAAGAGGGTTTTGGGAGACAGCTATTGGAATTACTACTGTCTACACAGATTTAGACTAGATTAAAAATTCATGTGAATATTGTTGACTAAAAATTTGAGGCAAAAAAAATTGTTTCTGCTTTCAAAATGTAATTTTAATGTGTATGTGTGTATAAATACAACTCCTCTCCCCCTTAACACGATAAGAATGGAAACTACTAAACTCCATGGAATCAGGTCACATCTCTTACAGTACTCTTTTGAAGGGAAGCCTCTCCAGTGTAGGAGATGCTTTATATTTTTCAAGTTTCTATTTCTCCATTTGGCTTTGCTGATCTGATCAGTAATAATAAGTATACTGCTGTTAATATCTGCAGTTGTCATGTTAATATCTTGCAGTGTATTCTAAATGCCACCATTTTCAAGTGCCTTTTTTACATTCCCATTCACTTTGTATAGCACACTAAAACTCTACAGAATGTTAGTACCCACAAAGTTTAGCTTTAATTTTTCTTTCTTTTTTTTTTTTTTTAAAAGAAATCTTTGTTAAGGATTCCCTAAATATTAACTGTCTTTAATGGGAGATGCCATTTTTGAATTCCAGGCAGCAAGTTTAATGCAGAATCCTCAAGTTCAACAGCTGTAAGTATATAGAAAGAGCATATGACATTTCCTCCCCTCTACTTGCAAGCTCCTAATCTGAGCACATCAGCTCCAAAATGATAAAACTACCTAGACTGCCAGAAATCGGCACTTAAAGTCACGCACATTTAGCCTAACCCTCTACATGATGTGGGTATACTTAATTATTCTCCTTGGCCAGTACCCTCCTTGTTAAGACTATATGCCAATCCAGTGATATACCTCTTCCTACTCTAGAATGTCAGGAATGATGACAAATGCCATTGGGGGACCTGCTGCTGGAGTTGGGGGCCTAACTGACCTGTCTAGTCTCATCCAAGCGTAAGTGTTACTTGAAATAGAAATAGTAAAAAAGTGTTGGTCTTACAGTTTTTCTGTAGTTAAAATAGAAATGGTTTTAAAAGAATTTATGTTTTATAGTTTGGCTCTAAAATGAAGGAATCAGGATTTTTTTTAAATCCTCTCTCTATGACATTTTTTCCATTGATTTTTAGAGAGAATAGAAGGGAGGGCGGAGGGAGAGAGAGAAACACCAATGTGAGAGAGACACATTGATTAGATGCACCTGCATGCAGCATGACGTGGGCCAGGAATCAAGCTTGTAACAGACTTATGTGCCCTTCACCGGGGATCAAACCCACAACAGTTTGGTCCTCGGGCTGATGCTCTAACCACTGAGAAGCCGGTGGAGGCAGCTTCTCAGTGGTTAGATTCAAAATTTCTTTTTGAATTTTTATCATTTACTGTTAGTATTAGTGGTTGTTAAATTTAAAAGGAGTTCATAAGTTGGAATTTTCAGACTGAAGGACAGGAATCCAGACTACTCAGAGATTAAAGGCAAGTAGCTACTCAAAATCTGCATTGACTTAAGTAAACACATATTTAAAAATCAAATTTTACATATATGCCAATGGTCAGACAATCTAGGACAGAATTTTATCCAAACTTTTCAGTGCACATCATCACTAGAGGAACTCCTTGCATTGCCTCATTTCCTTCACTTCCAACCAAGTTGCTTAAAATAGTCTGTTCTTTGAATCTATGTGATGCTGTCACTGAAGATTTTACCCGAAGCCACAAGTATCATTTACTGTTTGTAATCATGACCATGTGACCCCATTCGCAACATTGCACTTTCAGGATGATCTTTAAGTGACATAATTATAGCAATGTCTAATGCTCCCAATTGAGGGACACGCATCAGGAATTGGTATTAAATTTCTCTGTTTAAAAATTAGTTCTGTTCAGTGACTTCTATACACATCCCCACATGGGGGTACCATCCTGTCATATAGGAGACTATTAACACTTGACTACAAGAGCAAATACCTTGTAATATGTTTGAGCACACCCAATAAAAGCATATACTTTTGGACCTTTTGTTTATCCGTGGTTAGGCACTAGAGCGGGGTGTATTCACTCAATCCAGGACCTTTTTTGGCTTGGGTATTTTGCTTCTTATAAAGAACAATGCCTTTTAATACTTTTAATAATGCTATATGGAGGCAATGGTAACTTCGCAGATACTACAGTTGTGATTCTAAAACTTGTCTTTCTAGAAATTCCCTTTGAGTAGCACCCGCATCCTTTGCAGTCCTTTTTTTTATGGGTTATCGTGTGGCTGGGAATTCCCTAATTCATACCACTGTGCTCTTTCACTTCCAGGGGACAGCAGTTTGCTCAGCAGATACAACAACAGAATCCTGAACTCATAGAGCAACTGAGAAATCACATCCGGAGCAGGTCATTCAGCAGCAGCACAGAAGACCACTCCTGACTCGAGATCAGGGATTCTAGACTGCCAATGGTTCCTGCTCTAAGTGTTTGCTGTAGATAGTGGCCAAAAAACAAAAACAAAAACCCTACAGAATATGTCTAGACAATAGGTTTATCACAAACAGACTTCAACGTAACGTGACTCCTTTGTAAATGAATGGTCACTCAACAGGGTTTCATTTTCACATCTTCATCGTCATATCTGTCCGCTCGACTTAATAGCAGTAAGGCTGTTTATTGGTGAGTGCTCTGGCTCCCAGTTCCCTTCAGCAAACTTCCTGAGAGGGGAAAGGTTTCACATGCTGGGTTAAGAGCACCGTGCTTGCCAATGAGCAGCACATCTGGAGAGAACTTTGATATCTAGGTTTAGTCTCGATAATGCCATCAGTGATGAATATATATATAATAGGAGCCAGCACTGTCTTCAATGCTGCTTGTTTTAATGGGTGGCAGGGAGGCATCAGAGCTGGTGGAAAGCAGAATCTGGTGGAAGGGTTGTTTTGAAAGGAAAGAATAGATGCTGTGAATGTATAGAAAGTGAAGGTAGGTAGGATGCTCAGGTTTTTGCATAGTTTTTAACTAATCTTGCCTGTAGTTGTATTTATAACATTAGCATGGCTAATTGTACTATGTACATAACATAATAAAATACATTTAGAAATCCTTAATGGTACTGGTTAAGCCAATTGTATAAACTGTTCAGTTTAACTAGCACAACTTCCCCAGTGGTGACCTTACCATGAAAACTCTCAAATATGCCTACATTTAAATAAGCCAATGGCTTGGCTCTTAAGGACTTTCTAAGTGGCATTTAATTATGTGCCCATAAACACGGATTTTTTTTTTTTTTTAAACCTCAGTTATTTGATGGATTACAGAAAGCCTCTGTCATTAACAGTGCTTGTTCATGAAATCTTCTGCAACGATTTGGTTTGGCATGTTGCTTTTATGCTTAACTTAATTTGATGCAACTTAAACATAATGAGGAATTTAAAATATTACATTTAAATTAGAATACATATTATTGGAGAGAAGTGACATTGTTTGGTATTAATGACATGGCTCTATAGTGGAGGAAGCTGTTCTAACTGGAATTTCTTTTGTTAATTATGAAATAGGTAAAGTTGGGCAGACACATAATTTTGCAAGTGTTGTGAGAAAAAACGGAAAAAGAATGTAATATTAAATTAGTAATGCTGATAATAATCAGGACCTTATTAGAACTATTCTCCTTAAAAGAGAATAAAGTTTAAAAACCAACTTTTTCTCTTTCCCTTTGTGACATTAGGGTAGTGGTTCCATAGTTTCACTGTTAAGAGTCACCTGGTTTATTTGCTGAAAATGCAGATTCAGGACCACCTGAATTTTTATTGAATACGTCGTGTAGAAAGGCCCAGGAAGCACCATTTTAAATGGTACGAATTAGAGATTTCTCCTGTTACACCAGCAATACCTAACCCCCACTCTGGGCTTAGGCCATAATGAAGACCTATATGAACCTACAGTTCTGTCCAGAGACAAGAAGGACTTAAGTCTTAGGTCCTCTGAACTAAATCTCCTCTAGTCCATCTAAACTAATTTAATTTTTCATAAATTCATCTTCTAGTGTCCAAGGATTATACAGAAGGACTAATTACATGAATGTGATGACATTGATGAAAAAAGGCAAAGCCGATCCTTAAAAATCAGTCACTGTTATCCAGTGTTAAAAAAAAGTTTCTAGCATAACTATCTTGAGTGCATTAAAAATGCTTTCACCCTGGTTGGTGTGCTCAGTGGTTAGAGCATCAGCTTGTGCACCAGAGCAGCGGATGCCAACCTTTTGGACCTCACGGGCCACCGGTTGGCGAGCTGTGCCAGAGGGTCCTGCATTTGATTCCTGGTAAAGGGCACGTACCTGGGTTCGATCCCCACTCCCCAGTCCCGGGCGCATGTGGGAGGCAACCAATTGATGTATCGCTCTCTCACATCGATGTTTCTCTTGTCCCTCCTTCCACTTTCTCTAAAAAAAATCAATGGAAAAATATCTTCACTTCTTGGGTAAGGATTAAAAAAATGCTTTCAGATTGATAAACTAGTAAGCCTCTAGCTCTCTGACTAGTGAAATAGAAAACATACAAATCAACAGTGTCAGAGGTAAGAAGGGGATATCAATGCAGACATTAGAAAATACTACAGGATCATTAGAAAATACTACAACCAACTTTAGATCTATATATTCAACAATATTAACTTGAAAAAATTCCTTGTAGGATAGAAAGTGCTAAAGCTCACTGCAGAAACAGATATCCTCCAGGAAAGAAAGCTCCAGTCCCAAACAAGTTCAGTGGGGAATTCTATCAAAAAGTTAAGGGGGAAATAATCTCAAGCTACACAATTTTCCAGAAAATAGAAAAGGAGGAAGTACCTCACAACTCATTTTACATACGTATTATTCTGATACCGAAATCAGATAATTATAAGCAGAACCCTTTAAATCAATGCCTTGATTTGCTAATATCTGCTGTGAAGATTACTATTTACAATAAGTAATAGGAATTGGTGTATTTATTCCTTTTTAGCTACTAGATGGTTTCTTTGTTAATATAGTACTACCCATACCAAATCCAATCTAAATGATAGTAGTTCCCTCACCTGGATTTCCGTCTGATTCAAGCCATTTTTGCTCAAGTATCTTCCTCACTTTGGAATCACTGCATTTCAAGAAAGTTTTGTGTAGTTGGATTGCGTTGCTACTCATAAAATTGTAAGAAATGCCCCAAATAATTATTCTTGCTTATCTGAAACAGGACATTAAGGTAAATCTTTATATACAGTCTACTTAGGAATAACTGACTTACATTAATCACATTTCATTATAGTAGCTGTAGCTATTATGATGCTATGTAAAACGTAAAATATCTTTTTTATGCAAATGACCCTTTCATTTAATGTAACAAATTGTTTATCTAATTTTTATAATGTGGTTTAAATAGATCCTTTCTAAAATAAGATTATCTTTTATTTAAAGAATGAACAATATGTGTCTAGGTTATTGCTTGTAAAAAGAGACTTTGTAATTAAATCAAATTATATAGCAGATTCCAAGTGACCCCATTATATGCTACTTTTTAAATTTGAAACTGAGTGAAACTGAAGGTTTGATCATGAGAAGATGCTTGAAAAACCATGGACGTACCCAGTGCAGTGGCTGTAAAGTTTTATTAATCATTTAATTAACCTTATTCATTTTGGAAGAGATAGATATTTTACACTGCTTACACTTTATCTTGTACAGACATTTCATTAATTATTACTCCGAATTTAAGGGGCAAATCTCACTTCGAATATAGCTTTCATTTTGGATTAATTTGTCATGGCAATAAATAATTATGCATTTAAGAAAAAATAATTTTTGTATTTGACTTAATGTACTCTTATAGATAATATGCAAATTGACCACCACACCATCACAAGATGGTGACTCCCACAGCAGGGGCAGGGTCAGCCACTCCATGTGCCCCGCCGGGGTCCTTGGGTACTCCTGTACCCCCCACTGACAGCTTGCCAAGGCTTCTCCAATGAGCTGCCCATCCCTCTCTTCCACCCTCCCCTGAAGCTGAAGAGTGAGTTGGTGTCCAAAAAATTTAAAGTTATAGCTCATGTTGTTGAGAGTATTCTCCATTCCTCAGCCAGGGCCGGCCACTCTGTGTGCCTGCCACAAGGCTCCTCAGCCCTGCCAGGGGCCTCGGGTCCTCCTGCACCCCCCACTGACAGGCTCGGGCAAGCAGGGCCACCCGAGGTGCAGGCAAGCCTCAGATGTTGCCCAGGGACGACCTGAGGCCCGGGTAACCAGGGTTGGCCGAGATTGCACTGCCAGCAGTGGCAGCAGCAGAGGTGTGATGGGGTGTCACCTGTCACTCATGAAGGCTCCTGAACTGTGAGAGGGGGCAGGCTGGGCTGAGGGACTACGCCCCTCCAGTGCATAAATTTTCATACACCAGGCCTGTACATGTATGTTCTAGAGGCCTGGTGCATGAATTCTTGCACCAGTGGGGTCACTCGGCCTTGCCTGTGGGATTGGGCCGAAACCAGCTCTCTGGCATCCCCGAGGGGGTCCCAGATTGTGAGAGGGTGCAGCCTAGGCCAAGGGACCCCACCAGTGCACAATCAGGACTGGGAAGGGACACGGGAGGTTGGCCAGTTGGAGAGGAATCATGGGAGGGTTCCAGGGTGTGTCAGGCCCATCTAACTCAATCCTGATTGGCCGGACCATCGCAGCAAGCTAACCTACCAGTCGGAGTGTCTGCCCCTTGGTGGTCAATGCACGTCACAGCAAATGGTTGAGAGGCCTTAGCATGTCATTAGCATATTATGCTTTGATTGGTTGAACTGACTGGACACTTAGCATATTTGGCTTTTATTATATAGGACATCCTTACATTTCCACTTACCAAAATAAGTGTTTACTTAACAGCATAACCATTTATTTTCCTGACAAAATATTGAAACATTACACTCCATTGTAAAGTTGTTTCAATCTTAACTTTTTCACTATTTTATTCAAGGCATAAGTAAAATTAGTGTGATTATAGGCAGAGGTAGAAAGTTTTCTAATATTAACATGATTTAGAATTCAAAGTCAAATATCAGAAGCTGGAAATCCTTTAAATATACCTATGAAAATAAGTGGCTTTTTTTTTTTTTTTTTTTTAAATGGGAAAAAAACAACAACAGGATTTTGGGACTTAGAAAAGAGTTAAGCTTCTTAGTTAAAAGTTAACCAAGTAAGCAGTAATCTAAGATCTGCTGTTGTTTACTGAAACTTAGACATGTGTGGGTTTATATGTATACACAAATACAGAAACTCACCAATATACTAATTGGGAAGAATTCATACTCTGTTAGTAAATACAAGGTTATTCGAGGACCATCTCAGTTGTTTTAAATAACTTTTTCTGTTGACTAAGGAGCTAGGAAAAATCTGGACTTTACTGAAATATAAAAATTCTTACGTTTTGAGGAACAGTTCTCTCTCCTAGGTCAGTGATCTGTAAATTGCGGCTCTCGAGCCACATGCAGCTCATGAGCTGTGGTTTGCCACTCTGTTGACTAATGAGTTTGCCAACCACTGTTCTAGGTCAAGGTCAGCCAACTATGGCCTGCAGGTTGGCTGCCTGATTTGCAAAACCCACTGTGCTCTTTTGGCCAACTGGCTGCTCTTGCACCACAGAAGCGGAGTGATTATCTTCAATAGAAACCCATGGCCTGCAAAGCCTAAAATATTTACTATCTGGCCCTTTACATAAAATACGCTGCTGATGCCTGGTGTAGATACTTGCTAGGGACAAATGGCCTCAAATACAGAGCTTTGAGAGAACAAGTCCAATGGTCACCTAAATGAAACAAAAAGGGTATGTGTAGAAAATATACAAATGTTTCTTGAGAATATAACTCACAAGATAAAACGAGTAGATGGTCTTTTCAAAAACAAATATTTAATATTTTAACTGTTTTACAGGAAATTTAAATAACATATACTTCCTTTTACTGCTGACTTGATCATTATACAAAGGTGACAAAAAAATACAGAAAGTTCTGTGAAACTCAGTGAAAGGCATAACATTGGGAATTTTCTTCAGCTTTCCACTTTAGTGGCCGAAGATACCACACAGACTTGTGCGATGTCATCGTATTCATATGTTCTCTTTAAAAACGTGTCTGTCAGTCTTAAGCCGGAAACGCTCTATTGAGAGAAAAACACAGGCCTAAGCTTTCATTCGATGGTGATGACTAGGAAAGTATGGATACAGTTGATGGGTTAAGAGCTCCCAAACACTGAAATTATTGAAAAGATGACATACTTGCAGTCCCTGTACTGAAGACAGCAGAGTAAGGGCCAGGCAGAGAGAGGAACTTGGATGCAGCTTTCCGAGCTGTCTTCCGGAAATGCCGCACCAGTGGATAGAATTGGTGTTGCACATTTCCAAAACTAGGTCCATAGTCCTTTCACTGCTGGGGGGAATCAGAAAAACAGGAATAAATCTTGTTCCTTTCACAGAAGGATGGGATATTCTTTCATTACTTCCAGTGAGTTTGTTTTCTAGGTGTCCAGGAGAATTAAAAGCCAGAAACAAATTAAAATATATCATTTTTTATCTCACTTATGATAGAGTCCTAAAAATGAAAGAAGATAGCATCTTCTTGGGTTTAAAGTGTCACTGAGACTAATGTGCCTTTCTGGTTGTTGGCCTTCTGGTTCTATTACTAGCCACCTGGCTCCCGGCTTTGCCACTTCTCTGGGAGACTTCCTGCATCTGTGTCTAATCTTAGTGCTATGCATCCTTCCTATCTCTGTTAGGTAATCCGCAGGAGACAGAATGACAAACTGAGTCTGGTCCAGTACTTGTCCTATTTATGTTTCTTTACCATGGAGATAACACAGAAAATGACTGACAAGATTTATAAGAAATAAAAACTATTCAGGTTTGTTCACTGTTAACATAAAAAGCTTGCTTCTGCTTACAATTGATAGAATCAGTTCAGCTTAAATATATTAAAACTTTTAATGAAAGCATGCATGTTGTTTAAAAACACACACAAGCCAAAGGCTCATAATGAAGAAAAACACTCTACCACCATTCATGATACCTTCAACTCTTACCTTTTTTTTTTTCTTCATAGTTGGCTCTATATTTTAAAATATTTATTTAAAATTTAATTTATTGATTTTTAGATATAACAATTTAATGGTACTTAGCTTTTATAGATCTCTGTCTCCTAAATAAATATTTAGAATGTCAACTGTGCCACACACCAGGTTAGATGCACTGCATGAATTTTCGCATTAAGTTTCACAAAAACCCAGAAACTCTGTTGATAGCACTTGGCCATTTGGTCAATAATGGATTTGCTATACCTCAAAAAACTCAAAAGAAGCAAGCAAACAAAAAAACCCCAAACCCCACTGTAAATGCGCAGGGCCTTTGTCCTGTGCGTATTGTTTGCTGAGCTCCTCCAATGTGGTCAGCACTGCATTTACAATACTGGGCACCACATGGCCCTTCCCGTGAATAATTCACAATCCAGTGAGGAAAAGACTAGTAATTGTAGCAATATATGAGCGTCACTAAAAAACTGCATTGAACTTTGCTGTAAGAGAGAAAAGGATGATTAACTCTGCATGGGAGGGACGAGGTGGCTTCCGAAGGGAAGTAGTATTTTTGAAGTTTTGAGGGATGACTCTTTCCTATCTCCCACAAATACCATAAGGTGGAAATGAAAATGGATTAGAAAGGTTTATACATTCACACTGAGGGCTGGGACTCATCACTGTAGTATTATTAAAATGCCCCAAATAATAATACCAAGTAGTAATAGACGGAATAGCAAAAGTGATAGGATTGGGATTTAATTCTAGGTTTTTCTGGCTTCAAAGCTCTAGGCTCTGCTTTTTAATAACTAGATTATACTTTCCCTTTATTATCAAAGTCCTGTTTTCCAATCTATGGTTATCCCTTATATTAAAATCATAACCTATTTTTACTTTCTTACTATTAAAGATATAGCCCTAGGTATAAGTATGGCTCAGAAAAATCTGCCTTGTTACATTACATCTATAATATACTATTCCTCAAGAACCTATTATCTCATACTTTGACATGAAGTGTGAGGGAAGTGTAAACAATGAAAAGAATCTGGACTTTGAAGTCAAATACACCCAGTTTCAAATTCTGGCCCCATCTTTTCTAGCTCTCTGTGCTTAAATAAAGTTCCTTAACCTCTGAGTTGATTTTCTCTTGCATAGACTGTGAATAATTAATACCTACCTCATAGGATATAAGGCATGAATGTAATCTAATACATCAACTGCCTAATGCAGCACAACCTCAAAAATATGTAACATAAAGGTACCACATGAACAACTACATTATTCAACATCAATGTCAGAAAAGGCCACATGTCAACAGGAAACTTAAAAGGTGACAACCTATTTAAAAGACTTAAAAATTCTCTTTTAGGATTAGGAAGTTCAAAGTGGTAGTTATAAAATAGTAAAGTACAGCATTGCAGCATAGGGAATATAGTCCATAATATTGTAATAACTAGGTATGGGCCAGGTGGGTACCACGAATATTGGGGGAACACTTTGTAAAGTATATGACTGTCCAACTACTAAGCTGTATACATGAAACCAATGCAAAATAATATTAAAACTGGGATTAAAAAATAAAATATAACTTAGAAAAAAAGGAAATAGCCGAGACCGGTTTGGCTCAATGGATAGAGCGTCGGCTTGGGGACTGAAGGGTCCCGGGTTCGATTCCGGTCAGGGGCATGTACCTTGGTTGCGGGCATATCCCCAGTAGGGGGTGTGCAAAAGGCAGCTGATCGATGACTCTCTCTCATCGATGTTTCTAACTATCTCTCTCCCTTCCTCTCTGTACAAAATCAATAAAATATATTTAAAAAAAAAAAGAAAAAAAGAAAAAAAGGAAATAAAAATGATCTTTTAGGTGGGTGAGGAGGAAAGGACATCCATCCACAAACATTGGCATTACCTGCAGTTTGTTATTTTACAGGTAATATGAAAAGGTTCTTCTAGGATGACGGTATCTGGGATTGCCTCTAAAGACAATCTAACATCTCCATAACCTGGAGCCTAAAAGGAAAAGCAACACAGTTAACATACATGTATTACAAAACCTTTCCATTGTTATGACAGTACCACAGTAGGATAATCTTTCAATAGTTGCTGGGTCTCCAAGATGATGTTCGGAGAAAATATTTTTCAGTTATTCTATTCTTCATTCTAACTTCTTTTGCTGCTACTACCTGCAGAACAGCACTATAGACCCTGCCTGTTTTTGTTATAATTACTCCATGTTAAGAAGAGTTACAATGAATCTCAAGGTCTATAGATCTTGTAGTAAAGACATTTCAGGAGGTCTTATCTTAAAGGGATGCTTTCCAAAGATACTGTTGCTCATATACATATAGATCTAAATAGGGAAGATTACTGCCTAAACAGAAAGAGGATGATCACTCTGAAATGACCTTCAGGAAGAAAATCATGTCTTTTCACAATACACATGGGCAAGGATAGGCCGCAGAAACATGAAAGCTTGAAACATGTCATAGCAGGACGATACATTAAAAATAGGCCAGTGACATTTTTTTTGGAAGTGATTACTTCAAATAGTGAAAGAACAATTAATTTTAGAATATATCAAATCAGGTAATATTCAGCACTAATGGAGGATTCTGTAGCATATTCTAACACAAAAAAGGAAGACTGGTAGCTATTCCTATTCTCAGAGCAGAAATGAGGTATCCAATCAATGCTTATAGGTTCACATTAGTGGGACTCACACACTGGTTGTTGATAACTCAGATTTTAAACATCTTAAAAATGGTATAAACTGAGTAGGTGACTGTAGTAAGAGTTTCAAGACATTGCAAAAAGGAAAACTTTAATATAGTGGAAGTCAGGTGAACAGAGAGTATGATAAACCTTCAGAGGGAACAACTTATAAGGAGTTATTTTAATTTTTTAAAAACATATATTTTATTGATTTTGTACAGAGAGGAAGGAAGAGACACAGAGAGCCAGAAACATCGATGAGAGAGAGTCATCGATCAGCTGCCTCCTGCACATCCCCAACTGGGAATATGCCCGCAACCAAGGTATACATGCTCTTGACCGGAATTGAACCTGGGACCCTTCAGTCCCCAAACCGACGCTCCATCCACTGAGCCAAACCAGTTTCGGCAGTTATTTTAATTTTTGTTTGTAAAGAAAAAACCACGTATAAAGGATAAATGAATAGTTGAAGATTTTCCATTTATCTCATACCAATTTTTTCCCCTAGAGATCAGTAAAATTATTAGTCTTTTATCTCTTGTTCTCTAGTAATATTAATGTCTTTTATATTGCTCTGGTTTTAGTGTGTAGACCTAGGAAAATTTAAGTTGTCCTATCTACCTACCCGTCCCCGCTGGTCCCCCTCCCCCCCAAACCTGAAGTTTTTCCCAGACTCACCATTCTTTGAAGTTGGCTGGTTTGTAATCTTCCCCTTTCACCTAGATTTGTTTTCCACACTATATCCAATTTCCCGATTACTGTTACCCCCTTAATGATGCCGGCTTTTTCTGCAAACTCCTTCTTGGGCTTTAGGCAATACAAGTACTGGCGTGTGTCCATTGGCTGCAAATATGTTCTTGACCCAAACGTAGTTACACTGAGAGGGATGGAGACAGAGATGGAGAGATTTCTGTAGCATATTTAAAAGAAAAACCACGTGATTGTTCCTTTTGACAGGAACTGAATGATTTACCATCCAAAGATCTAGAACAGAACAGGTGAGTTGTTTCAACACAAATGAAAAGGATTTATACTAAGAGGATTTATTTTTGTTTAATTTTTGTTAATATGAAAAATCTTGAGGTTCTTTATAATAGAAAGCAATGTGTTACCTAAAATATTGGATATGTATCAATTAGCTGAAAAAATGCAATAAAGATAAAAACTTCAAATATCCCTTTCCTCTTCTCTATAATTATATATATATATATATATATATAAAAGATTAAGAATAAGAAGGGGGGTCAACTGGGGAAAAAGGAAATGTATGTAAAGCTTAAGACAAAAAAAAAAAAAAAAAGAAGAAACATAATATTATAAACTAAGTAATTATTTCCGAAATGAACTAAAATAATAGGAAGAGGATGAAAAATTGTTTTCCCCAGTGGGAGTATGAGAGGTTAAGAACTCTTTTGTATCTAACCAAGATAATAAGATAACAGTAAACTTCCATTCTTGTTTAAGAAAGTCAGGCACTTTCTCCAGCTATTATTACCTTCCTATCCATATTAATGCCAAACATATTTAGTTTTCAAAATTCCCTATAGAAAGACTAGGTTTTTGTTTTCACAAAAATATAAATCATCTATTCCTATGTACTCTCCTTTTGATGATGACTGAATATTTCTTCTTAAAACTCACCATTTCTAATCTCTTCATCATTCCTTCTGATGCCTCAGTTTTATCATTTGCAGGATAAGATGAAGGTTTCACATTTGACTCACTGAATCATTATGAAAATTAAAAGAACAAGTGCTTCAAATAGTAAGACATAAAGTGCAGATAACTAGGATCTTTATTTTTATGAGTAGTAAAGCACAGGGCATCTTTAGGGCAGTAAAACTACTGTGAATAATGTAATAATAGATACTTGTCATTGCACTTCTCAAAACCCACAGACTGTACAACACAAAAAATTGAGCCCTAATGTAAACTATGGATTTTGGTTAATTCTAAGTATCAATATTGGTTCATCAATTGTAACAAACGTGCCACATTAAAACAACATGTAAATATCGATACTAGGATGCTCTGAGAGAGAAATTGGTTTTGGATCAATTTTCCTATGAAAATTAAAAAACTCTACTAACATCCAAGAGTAACAGATATCAGAAGAGTTCATACCTTTCAAAATAAGAATAAACACTTCATAATTCATACTTACCATTCTCCAGCTTGGGTGACTGAATTTAATTCTGCTACATTATACATTATAGATGGCTCTAAAGAAACTTTCTCCATAAACATGGGTGAGGTCGTAATATTCTGAATCTGGGCTTCGAGAAATACTTCATCGGTCTGAAAATATGAAAAGATATCCACCAAAGTGTAATGCTATTTAAAATATTAACCTCAACAAAATATCTGATCTATATGAAGAAAAAATATTAACCACAAATGTGATTAGTTCATGCCTGAAAGTCAATGTTATCATAATTAATGCAAGAAAAGAAATCTTCATCCTAACGTAATTAACAGGGGCAAAGTGTTAGTCAATTGATAACTTGTCAAACAATGGATGGGGGATAACTATGATATTTTTGTATTAAGATAAAAAGTATTTTTTAATTGAAATTTCATTCACAAATATCCTAAATCTTCTAGTATAAGTTATTAATATGTTAAAATGAAATTTAGTATGATTAATATACCTGCATACCTATCATTGCAGTGATACACTAAGATAATTTAGTCTTTATAATATTTGAGCATAATATAACAATTGTCACACTGCTTCAATTTAGATAATATAGAGACCACTAATACAGTGAATAATATATTTTATATTGTCTTATAGAATTTAACTTTAATTAAAGCAATTTGTTAGTGGCCATTACTAATTTCTTGGTTAATTTAAAATATAAATTTAGCCGAAACCGGTTTGGCTCAGTGGATAGAGCGTCAGCCTGCGGACTGAAAGGTCCCAGGTTCAATTCCGGTCAAGGGCATGTGCCTTGGTTGTGGGCATATCCCCAGTAGGGGGTGTGCAAGAGGCAGCTGATCATTGTTTCTCTCTCATCGATGTTTCTAACTCTCTATCTCCCTCTGTAAAAAATCAATAAAACATATTAAAAAAAATAAAAATAAAAATAAAATATAAATTTAAGGTAAAACTTATGTAAATTACATCTGACAATTTTAGAACTTTTAAATAAAACAAAAGCTATTTTGTACTTAGTGATGTTTGAAAAGTGATGCTATTCAGCAGTATTTTAATCAATGGGTAATTTAAATAAGTACTTTTATAAAAAAAATTTATTCTCTGATTAGTTATGTTAAACATTCTTTTTATGCTATTTGGTTATTATTTTTTGTGTGTGTAATTGAAGGATAACAGATAATTTGGTTTATTTTATAAACTAACCTATATAAGAAATAATATAGTAAAAATATTCAAGAATTAATTTGTTCAAAATTTTGTAGTTATATAGGTACATGATATATATATATGTGTGTGTGTGTGTGTGTGTGTGTGTATACACACACACACACAAACTATGACCAAAACATCTTGGCATTTATAAGCCTTTAAATACTAAGTTCAGAAAATGAAAATCATTTGCAAATATAATGATAAGGTTATATTCTAATGTAACTATAATAAAACAGATTCTTTACTTCTTGGCACATGTGCTCAAATGAAAACAAAAATATAATGATGTAAGAGTTTAAAAGAATATACCTTAATTTAAAGGTATTATTCTGCTACTTTTTCTCAAAAGAATCCTAAATATATCCCATCAATCCATTGCTTTAAAAATAACCAGAGATCTACATTTCAATTTTAAAAGTGCAATTTTCTGCATAAATTAGGAAGAGTTTAGATAAAATGAAAGAAAAACAAGCAGCATAATGGAAAATTAAGTTAGTTTGAATAGTTAGTATAAAATAATTTGACATTTGAAAAAGAATTCAGTGCTATGGCAGTTGATATTGTTATTATGTATGTAATGTAACACTGCATAAGCAAATACTGCTTATAGTTAATAGAAATTTAAAAATATGATTTTAGCCAACTTGGAAAAATTCGATTTTCTTCTGTTTACTATTATCAAAGGGCCATCTTTACCTGATCCAGACTTAAAACTAAAACCACTTGTGCATTTGAAGATAAATTTAAACTAGATAGTTTTTTTAAGAGTTAAAGTATTAATAGGGTATTTTATTAGTAAGATGTTGAAAATCCCAAGGCTATTTTAAACAAGGTTAATATGTTTCTTTTAAAAAAAACACTTAAGGGAAAAACACTAAAAAGGAGAATATAATTGTTTCAATATTACAATTTAATCTCTGATCTATTTTTTCTCACAGAAGAAGACAATTAATATAAATTTAAAAAGTACAAAAATTTATATATATCTTTTTGAAGTCAAGTAGCTGGTATTCATACTAACTTTATTTTTCCAATATGTTTATAAAGAGAGATTAATTAGAGTAAAAAAGTGGTGAGTAAGATAAGCATAGAAATTTATAATAAAAAATCAAATTACCACAGAACTGAGGTCACTCTAATGGAAAAATAAAAAAGAAAAATTAGAAAAATCAGAATTAAATGTTAAAGAAAAAGAATAACTAACTTTAAAATAAAATGCATTTCTGCATTTTGTTTAATTTACTATACAAGACAGCATTAGTAAAATAAGAAAGTAAACAGAAAGCTACATAAAGGAATATGACAAATCATTTTTCTAAACAGGTGAAACTATTAAGGTTAAATGAATAGAGACGAACATGACAGGTAAGTACTTAATAGAAGCAAAATTTCAAGGGCACATCTTGGGAGAGAAAAGTATATCCCATGCCTTTCTAATTCTATAAATTCTTTACTACACTGTAATACTTCATAGATTACTTAACATGGACATACACTATCCTCCACATTCAGAATACATACAATGAAGACATTCTTCTAAATTTATCTAATAATGGAATCCTTTTTTCAAGGAGCATCTTGTGTGATTAGGGTTCTAAGGATCACTTCAGAGAATGGTGAGCTAGACCACAGACAATTGAGAATTTATTCTATTCTTGTTAGTAGATTGCAGTGAGTCTTACTTTTTAAAATATATTTCTAAAGTTACCCAATTATCAAGGGTCATCTCAAATGTCTTTTTTTTTTTTTTGTCAAATACATAGCAGGAAATCATATTTCACTTCTCTGTGTTCCCAGAGTATTAGTACACTTCATGAACTAGTTGGGGAGGGGTGCTTATACTATACTGTAGCTGTCATGCTGGTCTCCTCCATTAGACCTAAGTTCCTTGAGGATTGTGAAGATGTTCAGTTTATTTATGTTTCTCTTCATCACCTGGCCTGGAGCTCTGCACCCAGCAGGTGACCAAATGTCTGAATCCCAGCATCTAATGTCACTTCTTGGGAGGCTTTTCTATTTTAGGAGACTATGACAAAATTTTTCACAAAAACTTGTTTTTCTTTTAGGTGACTCATATATTATTAGAATTCTTAGAAACAGCTTACAAATGTCTGTGACAAATGATGGACTGGTTTTAGATTTGTAAGGACTATGTCACAGAGTATAAAAAATATCACCTTCCATCTACGGTGATTTATTAACTCCTATCATTTCCTTGCATCTCCTAGGAAACTGCCTCATCCTATCTTGTTTTTAAAGAGATATCTATTTTCAAAAGTTCAGATTTTATTAAAACTTTTGTTCTGAAGCTTGTTGGCAAAAACTTGAAATTTATGTTTATTTACATATAATGTTAGCTGAAAAAGGCAACAGATAAAATTGTTACTATGATTATAAAAACAGGATATTATATATAAATGAGTAAAGACTGAAAGAGAATATGGATGAATGAAAAACCAGTTACTTTTTGGTGTGGTGAAATTGTGAGGTTTATTTATTTATTTTTAGGGGAGTATGTCACTTGTATATTTTTCATGGAGTAACTAGCAATTCATAAAGCTATTAAAAAATCACTGAATAAGTGACAAGTATTATAAAACTACTTGTCAAGTACCTGAATATACCAACATATCTTCAACAAAGAAAACCCAAAATATCTTAATATGTACTTTCCAATGAGCCATTTACAGAAAAAAAGACCCACTATAGCCCTATTTATTTTTAACTTTCTAACATATCTAGTCTAACAGAATAGTTAACAATCTCTGCTCCTGCCAGGAATGAAATTTTTCCAATAAGACTATTTAAAATTCACCAAGTCGCCCCAGCTGGTTTGGCTCAGTGGATAGAGCGTCAGCCTGCGGACTGAAGGGTCCCAGGTTTGATTCCAGCCAAGGGCACATGTCTGGGTTGCGGGCTCCATCCCCAGTGAGGGGCATGCAGGATGCAGCCAGTCAATGATTCTCTCTCATCATTGATGTTTCTCTCTCTCTCTCTCCCTTCCTTTCTAAAATCAACAAAATATATTTAAAAATAAATAAAATAAAATTCACAAAGCCAAATACTGCAATTAATCAAAATTACAGTATTAAATAACAAAAAAAGGTGGAGCACATATGTAGTATTCCAACTCTCCTAACCCCCAAAAGAAATGTCAACTCTTTAAACTAGTAGGCCGGCTAGTGTGGCTCAGTAGTTGAGCATCAATCTATGAAGCAGGAGGTCGTGGTTCAATTCCCAGTCAAGGCACATGCCCAGGTTGTGGACTTGATCCCCAGTTAGGAGTGTGCAGGAGGCAGTTGATCAATGATTCCTCTCATCATTGATCTTTCTCTCTCTCCCTCTTCCTTCCTTTCTGAAATCAATGAAAATATATTAAACACACACACACACACACACACACACACACACACACACAAAACACATACCTCAAACATCTAGACATCTAGGAATCTCCTTGATGAGACTCTACCCACCCATCAAATATGTACACTTTTCACTACAGGTTCCATGTGCCTGGGCAACTCTGCTTAGAATGCCTTCACTGCTCTTACACTTGGGCTCCCCAACATCCCTTCTACCAGACTGCTCAGTTTCCCTCCTCCTTCCATGAAGCTTCTTCAGACTACTTCAAAATCTCCTCCCCAGAGTTCCTGTAGCACATTTTTTTTAAATATCATTCTCTTAGGTTCACTTTATACTACAGTAGCTAATTTTGTTATTTTATGTCTTTTTTTCCTCCTCATAGCTCTTTACTGTAGATCAGGCTCCTTATCTTAGACATTTTGGTATGCTCAGTTGTACAACAAACTTCATACTGCTGAGCTCTACTTATCAATATTTTCCATGTAAATATTAAATCTTTTTTGCAGGGTTAGAGCTACCACTTCAGTTTTTGAAATATCAGAATTACATTGTAAATATTCAGCAGATCGCTGATGTTTTTAAACAGTAATAAGAACTATTAATTGGAATGATAGGGCAATCATTTAATGAAAGGGGTGAAAGCTTTACAAAATTAACAATGAAAATAAAAATCATACTGATTCCATGTAAGTTGAAAACAGCAGATTAAAGTGATCTTCAATGAAATTATTCACTTTTGATTAAACTTTATGCTCATTTTTTCACAAGTAATTTGCAGGACTATAAGCAAATGACTTCAATATAAAAAGAAATGTAATACTACATAATTTTAATCAAATAAGATCTTAATGTTTTATCCAAAATATTATGTGCCCAACACTTACCTCTGCATTGTAAAATTTGGTTTTCACATCCAGTGGTTTGAGAACCTAGTTGAATAAAGCATATCAAGCAGGAGTTTCTTATCATTTGACCATTTATTTTGTTTGGTTGTTTTAAATAGCAGGGCTTACATGTGTCAAAGCCATTTTCCAATTTATTTGTAAAAGACTTTTCTAATAGGTATGAAATCCTCTTACAGAAACAAAAAACCCTAAATGGATAATTCTAAATGCATCTTTAAAAAGGCAACCATTGTTTCTTGACTAAGGGATAGTTACGTTGGTTTTACTTCATTACATTTGACTAACTGAACACATTACTTCAGTATTTTTCTATTTACCAAATGCCCAGGTTGTGACAAAATGTTTATTAAATTAAGCAACTAAAATCCCTTTTATTTTTTTCAAAAGGCATGTAAAATCTTAAAACAAATTAGCAATGTAGCAAAGCAATAGCAAAATATGTTTCCTATTGATAAGTTTTTCTTTCACGTAAAGGAATAAAAAATATATATAGCATCATAGCTAGATCTATATATAGACATACATGGTAATCTTGTCTCCCAGTCCACACACATATGCACGTTAAACAGTGGTTTTTAAACTATTTTTGATTACTGACTTTGAAAATTGTGTATAAATACAAAATTTTGGAGTCCCGGTGAAGCTTGGTGTACTCAGCCCAAGTCAATAATTTTTCATTTAAATATTTCCTTGTAAAGTTGATAACATTTATACTTATTTTACCTGGACTTGTCAATCATTTTACCCCTCTTCATGTGTGCTTTGTGAAGTTATAAAAATAACAGAAATATTTTGGGGGTAAAAACCTTCAAGTTTCATTACAAGAATATCAGATTGGTACACCAGAGGCCCAATGCACAAAATAAGGCCCAATGCACAAGGTCAGGTCCTTGCAGCCCCAGCTTTGTCCAGAATATCACCAGGAAGGACGTCCAGTCTAATTAGCATATTACCTTTTTATTATTATAAATTGGTAATGATAATTTCTCTGCTTTTAACTAACTTAATTACATCTAACTTTAGATTGCTAGTAATATGAAAAGTCCAGAAATATTATATGCTTTATTTGGAGCCTGTTTTCACTGTAGATAAATAGAAATAACTACACTTTCAAAAAACAATAAATACAAAACACATACACACAAATAAAAACATTTACCACTGTCATATTCAATACCTGAAATTTGAAGAATTTTCTAAAATACATTTTTTCTCCGCCCTGAGTTGTATAACTCACTGCACACACCAAGCTGAAATAGAAAGATGTCTTAATCATTCTGAATCATTTTTAGTTGTGTTCCTTTTTAAAAAAATATATGCTTTTATTGATTTTTAGAGAGAGAAGAAGGGAAAAGGAGAGATAGAAACACTGATGAGAGAGGAACATCGTGGCTGCCTCTTGCACATATCTCTACTGGGGATTGAGCTGGCAACAAGGACATGTGTCCTGATCAGGAAATTAAACCAGGGACCTTTCAGTTCACAGGATGATGCCTAACCAATGTTACGCTCTTATAGAAGATGTTTCTCTCTCTCCCTCTCCCTTTCTCTCTTTCTAAAAGTCAGAAATCTATCCTTAAAAAAAAAAAGTGTTTCAAAAATCATTGACTAAAGAGGGAAAATATTCACAGTGAATTGAAGAAGACAAAACCATGAGTAATATGGTATTTGTAAAATTACGTAAATTATTTATACATATCTGCTACCTATATGCACATAAAAATGAATGAAAAGAAATACAGCAATATTTTAAGACTGGTTATACCAGGTGATGACATTGTAGCTAATTTAATTTCTTCTTTATATTTATGCCTAGTACTAAGCCAGGTCCTAGGGATATAGTATTGATCAAAACACAGTATCTGGCCCTGATCAACATGGCTCAGTGTTAGGCTACTGGCCCACACAATGAAGGGTCACAGATTTGATTCCTGGTCAAGAGCATGTACCTGAGTTGCAGGTTCCACCCCTGGCCCGGCGTGTTTGGGAGGCAACCAATTAATGTGAGACACATGGATGTTTCTCTCTCTCTCTTTCCCCTTACTCCCTCCCATCTACTCTCTAAAAATCAATGGAAAAAATATCTTTGGGTGAGGATTAACATACAAAACAAACAAAACCCCACAATATCTTTCCTCAAAGTGCTCACTGTAGGAACAAGAGTAGCACGGTACAGGTCTTGAAGGCAGATTTAGAGTTGAGTTCCACACCGTTATTTACTAAGTATTTAACTATACAAGAGTCTCATTTTCTGTAAAATAGGGATTTTACACACTTAATATTTCAATAAATTCAATTGCAACGTATTTTTACTTCTGTTCCTTGCTAGATCCTGGGGACATAGTAGACTTCATGAAATTTATACTTTAATGCAACAGTAGGCACTCAGTAATTTCAGTGCAAAAGACATTTTAAAAATGACAAGTTGTGGATACTACGGAATGTGTAAAAGGGGTCACTTAATTCAGTCTAGGAAATCAGGAAAGCCTCTTTGAGGAAGTCATGCTGAATCTGAGATATGAAGAAGTAGAACTAAACAAGATGACATAGGCATTCATTTGTAAGGGAAGAATATATCTTAAGTCATAGAGTTCAGAGGTAAAAGAAGTCTAGTATGACTGCAGTGTAGACAGGGAGAGAAAGTGATGAGAATATAAATAGAGCCCCAGCTGGTTTGGGTCAGTGGATAGAGCGTCAGCCTGTGGACTAAAGGGTCCCAAGTTCAATTCTGGTCAGGGGCACATGCCCAGGCTGCAGGCTCGATCCCCAGTTGGGGGGAGTGCAGGAGGCAGCCGATCAATGTTTCTCTCTCATCATTGATGTTTCTAACTCTCTCTCCCTCTCTGAAATCAATACAAATATTTTTTTTTTAAAAAGAGAAGAGGCAAAAATGGTGATGTAAGCAGAGATGAAGAAGAGATGGTAATGAAAGATGGGTATAAGAACTAACGGAATTTGTGAATTAAGTGGTAAGGCAGTGGAGAAATATAAAATTACTTTAAATGGCTGAAATGTTCATATTTGCTTCTCAGATTGAAAGAAAAATACAGTTTTAACATTCAAATACATACAAAATATTCTGTTTAAACTTTGTTTCTGGTAAAATGTAAACATGAAACATAAAATTCTTTCTGAAGTAGGCATTAGGTTTAATGATAACTGGAAATAAAGCAAAAGTTTCAAATAAAGGCATATATAAAAGAAAGCCTTCTAAAGCTAGTAAAAATAATCCTTACATGTGTGTTCCAATTTCCTTTACTTCATGGTGTATGACATCATCAATACAACAATCAGGTTTCAGTTCAGCCACTGCAGCATTGGAGGCAGAAAGATTTAAACGCTGAGAGCTTGTCTGAAGATCAGCCTTGAAAGAAAGTGGCAAAAAATAGCCAAATGAGACTGGTTATCTACATGGTGAGGACAGGTATGGATGCAAAGAATAGGAACACAGAAGTAGGATGAAGGAGGAGCAAGACTTCTCTGCGTAAGTGTTTCTGTATAGCTCTGACACTCAGAACCATGACAATGGTTCACATACACATGCACATAAAAAATAAAATAAAATCAACAAGGTAGTATGAGAATTCAGAATTAAATACAAATATCTCACACAAGGGCATTCTTCACTTAGGTATTTAAAAAATCTTCAAACTGCACAGAATGCAAAGCCACCAATAGTGTTCATCTATACAAAAACACTAAAAAAAGAAAACAGATAATGAGAATTTAAACAGGTCACTGATAAAAACTGCTACCCCAAAATAAGTGTGAAAAACAGAAAAATTACAAGAATAATACTGTCTGATTATGACACAATATAATTACAAATTATTAATAAGACAAAAAGGCCTTTCTATTTGAAAAACCTATTTACTCTTGGGTAGAAGGGGAAATACAAAGGAAATTATAAAATTATTTAAAAAACTACATATCAGAATCTGTAGGATACACCTAAACCAGTGAATCAGAAGAGAATTCACTTTTATAAAAAAATAGTAAGAAGAATAAAAATAAACAAATTAAATCCCCAGCTAAAAAGGTAGAAAAAGGACAAGATAAATAATCAGAACCACAAAGAAAGAGATAGTTAAAAGCAAATATTAATGAGATACAGAATAGAAAAGCATTAGATATAAAGTAATAAATAAAAAACCTAATATATAAACCAAGAGATACCTAAACTAAATCAAGAGAAAAAGAAAGCAAAAATATGCAAAATAAAAAATGACCAGGGAAAAATAGCATTGAGATAGACATTTTCAGAGACTACCATGAAGACTTATACACAAATTTTAAAAAATCTACATAAAATGGATCATTTCCTGGAATAAGACAGTTTTGCAAAATTTACACCATTAGAGATGAAAAGATTACACATACTAATCTTCAGAGGACAAAAGTGAAAATGCTATCAAATAACTTCCCCCCAAAAAATAGCACTAGCCCATATGATTTAGCAGGAGAATTCTACAAAAAGAATTCTACAAACCCTTTAAAGATCAGATAGTAAAAAAAAAAAAAAAAAAAGTCTAAATGCTCCAAAGCATTGAAAATAAAGGAAATTTCCCTAAATTTTTTTAACTACCATAATATTATTTTTTTATTGTTTAAAGTATTACATATGTCGCTTTTTCCCCCTATTGACCCCCCCCACCACCACCACACCACTCCACCTCCCCAGGACAAGTCCCGACTGCCCCAGTATCCCGTGTCTATTGGTTATGCTACTATACATGCATACAAGTCCTTTAGCAACCATAATATTGATACCTAAAACTTGATAAAAGAAAACATGAAAAAAGAAAAATATAACCCAATATCATGTTATGCTACCTATGTCATCATGAGTCTGATATAAAGAAATGACTTATATGTACATAATACAACTAAATATCTTTTTGAGATGAAGAAGATTCTTTCCATGGACACAGACAATGGACAGGGGAAGGACTGGGGTGGGGTGGGAGCTGGGTGGAGTGGGGTAAAGGTAAAATTTACCCCTGTAATACACTCAAACATTAAATAAATTTAATTAAAAAAAAGAAGATTCTTGATGGGCATTACACTATTCAATAAACATTCACTACTGTTATATTTCAAACACCATTGCCTTTATAAAAATTAAAACTAAATAAAGCCAAAAGATATAAACTTATATATTTATACGTAAGCTATTATATTATTTTTCTCTTTTTAATACTTATTTACCTTAAATTAGATGCCTTGATTGATTTATTCATCTTATAAAAATAAATAGAACATTTACTGAATGCCAGGAAAAAAGTATACATTCTCCAAGTTCTAAAAGTCAGATCTTTTCATAATCGAATGCAAAGACTGGCAAACTTTAAAAGATCAGGCAGCAAATAATTTAGACTTTGCAGAGCTCTATTGCAACTACAACTCAGCTACTGTAGTTTGAGATCTGCCACAGATAATACAGAAATAAATGAGTGTGGCTGTGTGTCAATAGAACTTTATGGACACTGAAATTTGAATTTCACATCACAAAATAAGCTATTTCTTTCCAATCATTTGAAAATGTAAAAACCATTATTTGCTCAAAAGCCATAAAAACAGGCATGGGCCAAATTTGGCCTACAGATTATAGTTTGCCAACTCCTGACCTATGAAAGGCAGAAACCCCATCAATAGTATAACAAACTTATGTATGCAAAAATTTGCATCCAATTTCTGGAAGTTAGGTCATATAGGAAATTTGGAATATTTGCTCTCTGAGGTCTTTTTCAATTCTAATAATTGATCATTTTCAAACACATCCTAATTGGACTTCCGTTCTGGTAATGCTCAAGTGACCTAAACGCAACACTTGGGACAGCTTTTACAAAACTTCTCCCTCATATTCAGTGAGTTTTTACTTTCTTTATGCACTTTCTCTAGGTAAATAGATTTCAGATAGTTTAATTGAATTGGTATATTCTCTCTCTTAATTTCTAAATGACTGAAAAAATCTTCTAACTGGTCTATTTCCTACAAACCATCCCATACAATGCTTTCATCAGTCTTCCAAAATAGTGTGAATATCTTTGCTCAAAATCTCCACTGACAGCCTGGCCAATGTTGCTCAGTGGTTGAGCATTGACCTATTGAACCAGGAGGTCACGGTTCAATTCCCTGACAGGGCAATTGCCTGGGTTACGAGTTCAATTCTCATTAGGGGGCATGTAGGAGGCAGCTAATAAATGATTCTCATCATTGATGTTTCTATCTCCTCCTCCCTATCCCTTGTTCTCTGAAATCAATTAAAAATTTATATATACATATACATATACATATACATACATATATATATATATATATATATATATTTTTTTTTTTTTTTCTTAATCTCCTCTGACTGCCCACGGTCTCAAAAAACAAAACAAAACAAAACAAAACAAAACAAAACAGGCAAAATCTCAACCTTAGCCTAGCTTGCAAGGTGCTCCACTGTGTGCACATCCATAATCTTGCCTACTCTTCAGTGCTATAAGAACACAATTTGTATCCTTATGTCTCTGCTTCCGATTACCTAGTTCCTCTTGTCTTTTTCTCTAAATCCTACCATTCTTTCAAGACTCTCTTGTGCTCCTTTTCTTCTAATAAGCTTTCCTGATTTAGGCAATCTTCCCCCCCCCACCCCCCCCACTCCACCACCCGTAATCTTTCCTCCTCCTTCAAATTTTATTATGTTAATCAGAAATTGCTAACAAAAACATTCTGCTGTTTACTGTTGACTGGTATATTTTCTCATCCAACCTATCACAAACTTTGAAAATAACAGAAATGATCCTGTGCTTAGCTTACTATACTATTAGGCATTTAATTATTGCTTGTTGTTGATGACAAAAATTTCCATATCAAACATGCTTTTTATAAGTTTCAAAAACATAATAGAAAAGTTGTTTTAAAAAATATATTGCAAACAAGAATGCCACTTACTTTTACCAATATATCTTTTACAACTTGATTACTATCATTATGAACGCTGATATAACTGGAAAAGGTCTCTCCCAAAAATATGTTCCTGTGAAATAAAATAAAATTTTACATAGAAATTCATTCAAGATTTATCATAAATATTCTATGTGAGCACCACTGAGAACTTCAAATGTAGAAAAAATTTATTAGAGGATAGAGATCAGGAAAAATACTGCCTCAACATTCCTTGTTTACATTAGGCTGCTCTTTTATTAATAGAGGCCCAGTGCACAAAATTCTTACACTGGGGGGCGGTGGCCCCTCAGACTGGCCTGCACCTTCTCTCAGTCTGAGAGCTCTTGGGGGTTGTCTGACTGCCGGCTTGGGTCTGCTTCTCATCCTTAGAACTGCCATAGAGGCAGGAGAGGCTCCGACCACCACTGCTGTGTTTGCCAGCTGTGAGCCTGCCTTCTGGCTGAGCGCTGCTCCCGCTGTGGGAATGCAGTGACCACCAGGGGACAGCTCCTGTGTTGAGTGTCTGCCCCCTGGTGGTCACTGTGCATCACAATGACTGATCGTTCCACTGTTCGATTTGCGTATTAGGCTTTTATTATATAGGATAAGTATTTTGAATTGCATCCTACATAATAAAAGCCTAATATGCAAACCGACTGAACAGAATGACCAGCGGAATGACTGGCCACTATGATGCACACTGACTACCAGGGGGCAGACACTCAATGCAGGAGCTGACCCCAGCTCAGCCAGCATGGGCCCCCCAATCGCCCTGCTGGTCGCCCCACAAGGGAGGCAACTGGTGGCGACCGCAAGGCTGGCGAGTAGGTGGTGCCAGGCCAGCCAAGGCAGGTGCCATCAGGGGGCATCCCGATCGCACTGCAGATTGGCCCTGATTGCCGGCCAGGCCTAGAGACCCTACTCATTCATGAATTTCATGCACCAGTCCTCTAGTTTAATCTGTAAAGCAAGCTATAAATCATGGCCCTCAACTATAGCACCAACTGCCAGTTTCTTTAGAAATAAGTCACTGAAATCAGGTCCATGTTAAGAGTCTTAGGAGTCTTAAGATTTGTTATTGAAGAGGATAGAAAAAAGCAATTTTTGTTAACTTACTTATGACCTGAATCTAGAAGAGACCCAAGTAATTGATCTCAGAGTATTTTTTATATTTGATTTTTCTAAGTTAGTCTAATAAAAATAGTAACTAGTGGCTTTACTGTATACTTTTTATAAAATATATTTTATAGAAAAATATATTTGTAATTATATACTATGTAAAATATTTTAAAATATATATTTATAAAACATATTTTTACATGAATATATTTCCAAGTTTTGAAGACATTAGTCAATGACCACCTTTCATAAAAACTTAAAAAATACATTTTAGTGTCAAATTCTCTCAATTGAAAAGGATGGAACCAGGGGCATCCACCCCAATAATAATCTATAATAATAAGCTAAAAGAAAGAGGAAAAATAAAAAAAATTTATAGCTCCTAATTAGCTGCCAAGTCTGATAACTTACGTTGAGAGAGGGCTGTGAAGTTGAATAAAAGAGATGATTCTGAAAGACATTTGTATTAAATAAATTAAAATAAAAGGAACCCATGGGCATTAAAAAAATACAGAGTAGAGCAAAAAGTACTGTTACAGTTGTGAATATGCAAAATAGTTCATTCTTGTATTATTTATTAATTATTGTATTATTTTCCATACAAACAACTATAAACTGACTTTTGCCTGACCCTGAATAGAAAGATCTAATGGAGAAAGTTAAAATCCTATCACTTGAAGAATCACTATTAATATCTTGGTATGTATCTTATTTTTCTTAACTATATATATATATATATACTTATGGTTTTTTAAAAACCAGTATCATGCCAAGATCGGTTTGGCTCAATGGATAGAGCATCGGCTTGGGGACTGAAGGGTCCCGGGTTCGATTCCAGTCAAGGGCAGGTACCTTGGTTGCGGGCATATCCCCAGTAGGGGGTGTGCAAGAGGCAGCTGATCGATGACTCTCTCTCATCGATGTTTCTAACTCTCTATCTCTCTCCCTTCCTCTCTGTACAAAATCAATAAAATATATTTAAAAAACAAACAAACAAAATAAAAACAACCCAGTATCATATAGTATAATTTTGATGAAATTTTTTACTACCATTTAAATGGATCATGAGCACTTTGCCAACCCATAGTTATTTTTCTGAAAACTAGATTTGTAATGCCTTTAAAGTATTGCTGCATGTCTTATGTGATTACATCATTCTTACCCGAAATTCTGTGGTAAAGTCAACATTTCTCCCAACATTAAAATTTCTGCACCATTTACAGTTGAAGGATCATCTCTCATGAGTTGGTTAAAGAGATCTCCTATAGAAAGACAAAAACATAAAATTATACCTTGTAAATAACTTTACTTATATATATATATATATATATATATATATATATATATATATGAGATGTTTTTAAAAAAACAATCTCTTCACAAGTTATATTTAAACAAGTTAATATGTAACCTTCAATGAAACTAGTGCATACCAATAAATTCTAGTTTCACAGAGAATGAACATTAGAAACAAAGGTAAATATAGGTCAAGTGATATAAAATATATTATAGTAAGCTCCAGTAATTTTAAAAAAAGGGAATGCTAATACATACATTGATGGAACAATTTGAAGACAAATGTAATTTTTATAGCATTATGACTATGGATGTATTATTATTAAAACTAAAATAAAAATCTCCTGTTGCCATTGGATATTAATAGTACCTTATAATGAGACCTGTTACTTGATGGCCACCACTTGCATGCTACAAAAACAGGGAACAGAAAATGTAGCAAAGAGTAAAAATTGGCAAGGCTGGGCTTATTTGAAGGTAACAGAGTCAATCAAAATGCCAATTTTTCCTAAGTGCAAGTAGAATAAAGTAAGTGCCATACCAGGTAAGTCTTTCTCTTCACATGTTACTGGAATATTGGTGAATAAAGTAGGCTTCGTCAACCGCATCACTGTGAATTCCAACAGTAAAAAAAATAGGTATATTAATAATTGCTTTGGGCTAGTATTCCCAAGCCAGTGCATGGCACTCATCCATTTTATACTAATGTAAAATATAACTATATACTTCCTAAACTAAATATAATATTAAATACTACCTAAGATTATTATATAGCAATCATTCATTTTAAATGCTAATATATGAAACAATTTTATACATGAGAAAAAAATAATTTTACATTTTTATAAGTTAATGAACTTTAAAAATTAAATGTAAATACAATACACCTCATTACAGAAAAACTAGAAAAGAGTTTATCCTATCTAATAGAGGGAATATGCTAATTGATTGTCACACCATCACAAAGATGGCAGCACCCACAGCCACAAGATGGCAGTGCCCAGTCCTCTCAGTCCCACCTCACCCAGCCCGAGTCCCCCAGTCACCTCAGCCCTGCCTCATCCAGCCCCACAGGGGAAGGCAGTTGGGAGTGATTGGGCTGTCATGGGAGGGCAGTTAGGGACAATCATGCTGGCAGGGGAGCAGTTAGGTGTCAATCAGGCTGGCAGGGGAGCAGTTAGGGGGCTATCAGACTGGCAGGAAGAGTGGTTAGGGGCAATCAGGAAGGCAAGTGGTTAGGAGCCAGCAGTCCTGGATTGTGAAAGGGATATCTAACTACAGGTTTAGGCCAGATCCTGCCAGGCTGGAGGACCTGAGGCCACACCTACTGCCATGTGGGGCTTAATGCAGGATCTCAGGTATGGTGCTATAATAAAACCAGTAGTCAGACATCCCCCGAGGGTTCCCAGATTGGAGAGGGTGAAGGTGGGCTGAGGGACACTACCCCTATGCACAAATTTTGTGCACCGGGCCTCTAGCCCTATTTAATAGAGTGAATATACAAATTGACTGTCACGCCATAACAAGATGGCTGCGCCCACAATGGAGGCTGACGAGCCTTAACGAGCAATCAGCAGAGACCCTACGCTGCGTGGTGCTGGGTGGGGGCAGAGAACCTGAGGCCGTGTTTTCTGCCTGGCAGGGCTTGACCGGGGACCTCAGGCCATGCTCTCTGCTTGGCGGGGATTGATGAGGGACCTCAAGCCACGTTCCCAGCCAAGCAGAGCTTTATGGGGACTTAAGACCACACCTCCTGCCCGACAGGGTTTGATGGGAACCTCAGGCAATGTTCCCTGCTCAGTGGTACTTGCAACCAGGGCATGTGCCCTTACACATGCCTATAATGCCCAAACATAAGCCACAATGGCCAGGGCATGAGTACCTAACTTTTAGCCCTTGGTTAGCAACCTCACAGTAAGACCTGAACAATAATCAGCTTCACCATTTATTTTTGCCTAATTATATTAACCAACTATTGTTCACAAGCTCACTAGCAATACTCAATGGCTTCTTGACATTTCTCCAACAGTCTTGGATTGAAAAGCAAGATTGATGAACAAGAGGAAGTCATTACTGAAGAAGCTACTTTGGAAACTCCCTCTACAAGTGATTTTTCACTTAAAGACTTCAAGAAGCATTCATGCACATGCTGTTTATTTTCTAGATAGCAGTCTCATTTGAGACAATAAAATGACACTAAAAATAGTTAAAAACAAAACAAAATTTGAACAGAGTAAAATCTAACTGGAAAAGATTACCTCTTTATTAAACATGAGTAGATTCCTCAGACTTTAAGCAATATCAGCCTGTGAAGAATCTCTCCAAAGGGCACATTTATCATGCATTATGAAACCTCTACCATGCTAGGCACTATGCCACAAGGCAAACATATCTCCACCTGGCTAATGAATACCCTCTTACTGTTTTTTTTTCCCCCCCAAGAGTTTGGTTTTACTACTTAATAGTAGTAACTCCATGTAAACTCTGTGAGGGGCGGGGTACGTTTGCATCCTTTCCTACTGAATTCTAGTATCTAGCTCATAGAAGGCATTTAAACTTATTAAATAAATACACCCTTTTATAAACCTTTTATTCCATAATCACTTTGTTTTTTTTTTTTTTTTTTTTTTTTTTTTTTTTTTTAATACATTTTACTGGTTTTTTACAGAGAGGAAGGGAGAGGGATAGAGAGTTAGAAACATCGACCAGCTGCCTCCTGCACACCCCCTATTGAGGATGTGCCCGCAACCAACGTACATGCCCTTGACCGGAATCGAACCTGGGAACCTTCAGTCCATAGGCTGATGCTCTATCCACTGAGCCAAACCGGTCAGGGCACTTTGGTTATTTTTTTTTTAAATTATCTTTATTGTTGAAAGCATTATATATGTTCCTCCTTTTTCCCCCCAATAACCCCCTGCACCCTGCCCCCACTCCATCTCCTAGGCCTTGACCACACTATTGTCTGTGTCCAGGGGCTATGCATATACCCATATAAGTTCTTTGGTTATTTCTATGAGGTGATGCATAAATCCATTTTACAACATTTTGATTATGGGAAACCAACAATGACTTCAAGAACCAGCAGATTAGTAACCAGTATTAATAGTCATTAATATGGAATTACTTGTATTAGAATAAAAAGTAACTTGATTTCTTATCATATTTAATACTTCTTTTAAAAACATGCTACATAGCCTTAAAGATATACTATGGTTTTAGGAAAATTATTTATTTTTTTATTTAACCTTTGTTTCAAGACAATACATCAACTGTTATCTATTACATATCTTTGGGAACACACACAATTTGGTTGGTCTTCCATTTTGAACTATATATTATACATGCCACTTAAGTAGCATTCCCTGAAAATGAAACAGGTTTTAGTTTAATTTTTTAAAAAAATTATTACATTTTATATGAGTAAAGAAAAAAATAGTATAAAATTAGATTTTAAGGATTTACCCAAATCCAAACTATTCACTGTAACTCATAGGAATATATAACTCAACCATTGGAAAATTAACAGAACAAAAGGAATGGCTCATTTTACCTCTAACATCAGTATAAATAATAATTTATCAAAATTAATTTAAACAGTGGCTGTTAACAAGTTCTTGACTTAAATGACAAGTCTACAAATTCACATGACATTTATTCCTGAAATACAAACTGAACATATATTACCACACAATTATTTTTCACAATGTTAAGAATAAATAGGCAAAGATTCAAATAAAAAAAAATTGTCAATAAAAATTTAAAAACTAGTAAAATTTACTCATCTATTTCAGTACATACTCTTCTTTTTGACAATCACTGGAATTCATTACATACTAAAAATAATACCATGTTTACGCACAAACAAATTTATTTTCCCTGTAAGAGCTAATCTTCCTTTGAGGAGATTTCCCACATATTCACAGTACATAATATCACAAAACACCCATATTTGGCCCAAATGTCTCTGAATTGTAGCATTACAAGATGGAAGTTCATTGTGCCTGATAATTCTATTGAGTTTTGCCCAAATGTCTTCCAGAGTTTGGTTGTTACATACAGTTTGATCTATTGTCCATCTTGCTCTATAAAATAGGTGTAAACCTAGTGCCTTTATACTATCTTGCAATTTTTTAGACAAAGGAAAAATATCTTCAGTACAATTTTTGCTGGGGAGTGAAACACTCCAAGACCTCTGCTTGTGCTGTTCCCCTTTCTCTGATTGTTTATCCAGATTTCCAGAAGTAGTCTGTTCATTCAGTGTGTGTGAACGGATTACGTGCTTCTTTTCTTTCAAATTAGGCTGAAACTCCAATAGAGCTACTGTGCAATCATAACTCTGTGATTTAACATCATATTCTGAAATGGCTAAATGTTGTTTCACATCTTCAGTTGCCTCTTCAGAAATCACAGGTGGTGATCGTTTAGGTTTGAGGGGAAGTTTGGACCCATCATGTGGAAACCAAGGGATAAATCTTGATAGCGGCCGTGTAGGAAAGTCTTGAATTGCTTTCTCTGCAATTTTCAGCAATTGTGTGGGATCACTCTCATATGCTCGATAATGCAATATTATTTCGGTGGTCATTCTGAAGTAGTCCAATTACTCTTAATGAAAAGAAAATTTCTTAGCTGAGCTCCTCAGAGCTAGAATAAAATTACAAGACTGTTTCTTTCCAAACCAGAGGGAAACAGGACCTAAAGTGGAAGTATTGCAAAGAATAAGATATGGTAGGGATAGCCTACATACAAATAGGGAGAAAAGGAAAAACAAAAACATACTATTTTACCAAAATGCTATTGGTAAATGTGAATGTAATCCACGAATCTGGAAATCCTTTCTCATGAAAATAAGGGAGCTGGATTAGATGCCTTATCAGCTCACTTCTAGCCTAAAAATGCTACCGTGTTTCCCCGAAAATAAGACATCTTCCGAAAATAAGACCTAGCACATGGAAAAAGAAGACATCCCCTGAAAGTAAGAACTAGCGCATCTTTGGGAGCAAAAATTAATATAAGACACTGGCTTATTTTTGGGGAAACAGGGTAGTAGTCAACATGTTTAACTTAATAGGTAATAAAGAATTTTGGAAATAATGACATTAATATATTAGGTACTAATAATATTAAGACTATATACAAAACAAAGAAAAATTAGTGATTCTTAAAATACTAGATTCATATATAGATCATTTAAAAAGTAATACTACTACTGAAAATTTTGAGACTTCTCAATAGTAAACACTAAAAGCATAAAAATGGTTTCAGTTTGCATTTTACCCAGGCTAGGAACTGGTTTTGTGACAGCTTCCTCTGTCTAATTAAGGCACTTAAGACCATGGCTCTTGAATTCCAATTTGGAGGGAAGGTAGAAGGCTAGACCCTTATTTTTTCTTCTTATAACACAGAAGTCCTCAAAGTTGCCCCAAATTAAGCACTGATAGTAAGTTCCAGCATATAGTACACAGGCTCAAGAATGGAACCTTCCAGGATCTGCAAGTCAGGTTTTCTAACCAGGTACAAAACTACAAAAGCCATACTTGCAAATTCTTTCATATCTTGCACTAAAAAAAAAAAAAAGAAAAAAGAGAGAGATTGAATCCCTTCTCCTCAAAATCATTGAAAGAACTACTTGATGAGGGTTCTCCCACAATCAGGATAACAGTGGTGGGGACTCCTGGCATGATGTCTACACTTATATGACCACTTGTGAAGAGTCAGAAGTCATCTCATGATTATTTTAGCCTACTGTTAATGTCCATTAACAGACTTGACAACTTGTAAATTCATAATTTTTAATGTTTCTTAAATTAGGTAGCACATCCTTTCAAGAATGTATGCTTTTATTTTTACCCTTATACTTTCACATTGTAAGATAATGACATTGAGAATTCTTTCAGTATTGTCTAAACTTATTCAGTTTTTGGGAAAGACGGAGGAAGGCCTTGTGCTGAAATACTGCCTCCATCAATAATTAGCTTTGTGATCTTGGAAATGTTTCTTAACTTTTGAGAGTTAAGGAACCCCTACTGGGCATGCTTGCCGTGAGATTGAGAGATAAAGCCCCTGGCAGTTCCTTTTCTTCTTTTTCTTCAGGAATAACCCACTTCAGTCCAGCTCATTTGCTCAAACTAAGCTTACTGGGCATTGTGCTATATTACTTAATATTGCACTTCCTTAATTAGGCAGTCAGAGGCCGTTCTGCTAACCCCAGCTATCGGTATTTGATTTTACGTTACAAATGGGACTGGGGGGCTTCTGGAAGGGAAGGTTCCTCAAAATGGATGCCACAAGGATGTGCAATGCAACTGAGTTCGAAAGTCTACTGAGCATTTTCTCAGCTCAGTCGAAGAAGGGGTTGGTAACCACATATCAGAGCATACAAAAAATAAAAAGTGCATTTGTGGAAAAAATAGATAAAACACAGCTGAAAGCATTTAAAAGTTTGTTGTCCCCCCCCCCCCCCCCCCCGAAAACGACAGGAATTCAAGAAAAACTCTAACCTGTTTTTCTCCAAATAATGATCTAATTATCAAACATACTCAAATTGATGGCTAGGTACAGAATATGAAAGTTGACGTGAATGTTCCCATATACACAGTATTTTGAAGTACACACTACAGTAGATTTTAACAAACCTGAATTATAGGTCAGTACTATGCACTTCTAAATCTTTGGCACTGCTGTTCTACAGATGGAGTTGAAGGCTCTTTGTCGGAGCCGCACGAAGGGACAAGACACCAAAGACAACCACTTCAGAGGTCGCCTGTCAGCCTCTTGGTCACAGGGCTCTCCCCGCGCAGGGTGGGGACGTCAGGTTCTGGGGCTACAATCTGGTGACTGCAACAGCACCTCACTGAGGGACTGGCCTCTATCCCCTCCCCTCCGCCACTGGTCTACCTACCCGCTTTAGAGGGAGGCTCTCCACGAACCTAAAATCAGAGTTGAAATTGCTTCCCGCCGCTTCGGCGCCAGAGGCAGAGCCACCGGGCGTGCAGGGAGGGTAAGAAGAACGAGGCCTACACCCCACAGGCCAGGGCTGCGTGGCCAAGACTTGGAGCTCTAGAGAGAGGGGGTGGGGGGTGGGGGGGAGAACAGATGAAAGGGAGTCAGATTCACTTTACCTTTCAGAGCCAGCAGGTGCTCCTGTTTGGGGGGATTCACTTCCATTTGGACAGGCACTCGCGATCGAGAGCCTACGGCGGTTGAGGAGGTTCAATCCAACCCGGAAGAGAGCAGAAAAAAACGCACTTTGGGGAAGGCGGCGCGTCAAACACAGTCCCTTCCCGGTGGTGTTTTAAATTCCCTTCCTATCAGGTCCTTTACGACCCAATGGCAGCTTCCCACCAAGGACACATCTGGCCTGTGGAACACCCACAAAGAGAATACTCCTCTTCCCATCCGCATTCACACTTCGCGACGGCGTGACGCCACGACTCGTCCGAACACTATGCGGTCTCCGAAACGACGGCCTTGCGGCGTAAAAGATTCAGAGGTGGCACCGGGACTTGTAGTTTCATATAAAAACCGCACTGCATGCTGGGAGATGTAGTTTCTCCTCATTTCCCCTCCTTCCTCCTCCCCCCCCTTCCTTTTGCGACCGATTGGGGACAATATCTTGCTCTTGGAGCGAGAGTTGCATCCCAACATTTTGCTTCTCTTCTTTAATTTTTTTTCTTAACGTCATTCCTTCCATCAGTGGCAGATTCTTTAATAACAATAAAAGCGCCCACGCGCAAGGATGTGCAGCGGGAGGAGGAAGGAGGCGGTCCTGGGAATATCTCCCCGCCCCGCGCCGTACTGCGCCTGCGCGCCAGTGGCGGGCGCCGAGGCTTCTGGGTAGGTGGCTCTGCCCCGCCCCTCCGTTGGAGGCCCTTTCGGATGCTTCTGCAGCGCCGCTCCCGCAAGGATGGCTTCTCTGGTTGTAAACAAGGCTGGATCGGGGCTGGACGGTGGCCGTCAGGGCAGCTGGGGCACGGCCGTGGTGAAGGTGAGGGCCCCTGCGTTCTCTGTCCTCCACCATTGGCCTGCCTCGGGTGCATCCCCGAGATGGGGCTGCAGCGCCGCGGCCCCGGCTGCTTTGGGCGGGATGCGCGGCCTCTGGGCCCCTCTGTACCAGCCAGGCCGTCCCCTCCGCGACAGGTCTTCTGTTCTGGCCAGTCCTCTGCCTGGCATCAGCGAGGGGGCATTGGTGAAAAGAAGCGTATGGGCCTGTGAGAGTGATCTGGGCTTTCTCCCCCCAGGTCTTCTAATTTTAATTAAACTCCACAGGCATCAATTAGCTTATTTTTATTAAACCAAGCCACTATTATCTATAGGGATTATGTTGGCCTTTTAAATCGCTAGTGTCTACTCAGGAGGTTGATGTTTATTCGTGTTTTACAGGCGAGGAAACAAAGGTTTACGTTAACAGTGTGTGGCAGAGCCGGGGTTGACTGGCTCTAAAGTTTGCTTTTTACTATTGCATTACGTCCATGATCAGACATCAGTTATGGGGTCACTGCCTCTTCCTCTCTTGGTCAACACTTTAAAAAATATATGTTTGTATTGATTTCAGAGAGGAAGGTAGAGGAAGAAAAACATCAATGATGAGAGAGAATCATTGATCGGCTGCCTCCTGCACGTCCCCTGCTGGAGATGGAGCCCGGAAACCCGGCATGTGCTCTTGACCGAAATCGCACTCAGAACCTTTTAGGCCCGAGGCCAACGCTATATCCACTGAACCAAAACAGCTAGGTCTTGGTCAACACTTTTAAGAAGTCTCCACCAGCAGCAGAGCTGGACAGTAACACTAGGGTCTATGAATTGCTCTATACTTGAAGTTTGAAATTTTATCCTGTGTAAATGCACCAAGATGCCTTTACTAAAAAAATCAGCTGAAATAACGTGGAATTCATTTTTCCCTTCCACTGTATATATGGAAAATTTGGAAGGGAAACTGATCATAATGGTTTATAGATTCCCTTATTTATAACCTGAGATATTGACAATTCTTATTACTGGCTATATATTCAAATCACTGAGCACGTTTAAAAAAACACAAACTGATGCAGCCTTCCCTCACCCCAGTTCTGATTAAGTTGACATCAGTATATTTTTTTACATTCTCAGAAGTGATTTTAATGTGCAACCATGTTTAAAAACCACTGGACCAGGTAATATCTGAAGTATTTTTTATTTTTAATAATAACCTTCTAATGATTTTTCACCTAATGTTGGTTTTATATGACAACAAATGATACATTTCTGCTCACAACTATATTATTAGTCAGTATTGGTGGTTGTTGATTCATCTGACTTTTATATACTCATATAGTTATTCTAAAAACACAGAGCATATCCAAGATGCAAAGGAGCCCTCTTATTATAAGGTATATTATGTGGTTGAGATTTTATTTATGGAATTGTATTTTTTTAAAGTAGAGAATATCTGAAAATTATTTTGTGAATTATCATGAATTAAGAAGTTGTATTGGGCATGAATATTATTGCTGTATCTACTTTGTTATTCTGTTTACCTTAAAATCTAAAAACTATCCCAAAGCCTGATGGTACTCCAGTTTGTAATAGCACACAGTTTGTAATATTAGAGGCTCACTTTACTCATTTTAATCTTTACGTGTAATATGTGCCTAAGCTGCGCAGTAGGACAGTCCTTTTTGGCAAGAACCTCATGATGTAATTTTTAAGAAGTATGTTGGTATAATTGTTTTAAATTGTAATTTTCCTGGATGAAAGCAAAGAGTGTTACTTGGAAGGTAAGAATTGAAGTATAGTAATGCTACCATTATGTAAACTGGCCTCTTGTTTAATGAACAAATTGACAATGGCATGGCTTTTATCATTAGAGAAACAAAGAAAAAAAAATCTAAAATTAATATCATTTACATTCAGGAAAGAATCAGGAAAGTTTCTTTTGAAAATGAGCCTCACCCTGGCCACTGTGACTCAATTGGTTGGGCATTGTCCCATGCACTGGAAGATTGCTGGTTGAAATTCTGTGTAGGGCACTAAAAAAAAAAAAAAAAGAGAGAGAGAGAGAGAAAGAGAGAGAGAGAGAGAGAAAGTGAGTCTTCTTAATTTTTTAAAAATATGGATTGGTTAATTAAAATTTTATTTAGATGCAATAAGTACATGTAATGAAGTCCTCTTTGGCATATTTGTAAAGTTTATAAAATTAAAAGCTATTCTATCTAGGACTTTATCTTATACTTCCGAGTTCGTGCAGCTTGGAAGGAACTGTGGGCCGTAAGGCTACAGTGGGTACAGGGGTGGGTCTCCTCCACGCCTTTGCTTGGCCCCTCCTGCTGCGGCCAGCAGCCCTGCTCCTGCCTCTGCTCCCCCGCTGACAGCGTGGAGCTATTGGGGTCAGCGCCAGCAGTGGGTGCAAGCAGGGCCAGTGCTGTCAGCTAGTGTGAGCGGCTGCTGCTGCCCAGATCGCCCTTCAGGATCAGGGGGAGGTGGAGAATCCCAGAGGGGTGATTGGGGCTGGCGCTGGACTCCAGCAGCAGGTGCGAGCACCAGGCAGGACCATGGCACACAGGAAACAAAGACTTCAGTAACCACCTGAGGTTCACTCAGATGACAGCAGCTGGTGCCCAGCCTTAGTCTGGTACCCTGCTCACATCCACCATCCCACCATGGTCGAAGCCTGCCATGTTCCGTGCACACCCCCTGGTGGTCAGTGCATGTCATAGGAACCGGTTATTTGGTTGTTTCGCCATTTGGTTTATTTACATATTAGGGTTTTATATACATAGATTGTTAGCCCAAATTTCTATTCATGAATACTGAAGAAAGAATTTCTTACTCTGTTCTTTACTGAGTTGATGAATAGTCTAATAACTTTATTTTTGTACCCATGTTTGGTTTACTAGTCAGTGTACTTCTAGTGCTTTTTGAAGAAACCTATAGTAGCAGCATAAGTTCTTTTAGCTTGTGCAATAATAAGGTCAGAAATATAAGATATAAATGAACTAAGTAAAATTTTAATTTAGTTCTTTAGAGTTTATTATCATAAACAAGTAAAATGTATCGTGTCACATTAGTGAGAACATTTGTAAGAAATGTTGCATTTATTTCATAATATCTAATTCTGTGGTGAATATCTTTTCTATATTTAATTGAATTTGATATTTAAGTGAAACTTTTTTCCTGCATTAAAGAAAACAGGATATGCCCTGGCCAGTTTGCTCAGAGGATAGAGCATCGGCCTGCAAACTGAAAGATCCCAGATTCGATTCCGGTCAAGGGCACATGCCCTGGTTGTGGGCTCAATCCCCAGTGGGGGACTTATGGGAGGCAGCCGATCCATGATTCTCTCTCATCTTGGATGTTTCTGTCTCTCCCTCTTCCTTCCTCTCTGAAATCAATATAAATATATTTAAAACAAAAACAGGATAAATTGAAGTGTATGTGTGTATTATATATAATTTATGTGCAGCTGTTTCCTAGCTCTTCCTCACTAGACTACATTGTTTTGCAGTATATGAATGTACCATAACTTTTTTTCTAGTCTTGTATTGGTGTATACTTTGTTTCTGATCTCTTGCTAATGCAAATGGTACTGTTAAGAATTAGCATATAAGCACATAGATCTTCTTACACATGTGTGAAATATTTGTAGGATTAAATTCCCGAAGTGTAATTGTTGAGCTATTCTAACTTTTGATAGTCATTGCCCAATTCCCTTCCAGAGAAACTGTATCAGTCAATAAAACATTTCACAGCAACCAGCAATGTATGAGAGAGATGCTCTCTGACACTTGCACCAGTACAAAGTGTTACCAACGTTTTTGATCTAATCTGGAAAAGTGTACTGATATAGCTTTCATTGCATTTCAAAGTGTTTTGAGTGATAATGAACATCTTTTTATATGTTTAAAGAAAAGACTACACGTGGTAAGAAAAGACAAACAATCTTTTCCTTTTTTTTTTTTTTTTGTGACCTATGTGTTACATTTAAACTCCTATTGAAACATCCTGGGATGCAAGCCAATTATGAATTACCTGTTTATTTATAGTGAAAGATGCTTCTATATCAGGTAGTCAGTCCAAAAAAGTTTCAGAGTTAAGATTAAAATTTTAATGGAGTAAGTCTGATTTCCACTCTGGGTTTCCTTTTTTCTGGGAGGGTGGTGGTAGGGGAGGGTTTCTATTTTTTACCCCCTGTTATGTATTTGTTGGGGGGGGTGTGGTTGGACACTTTGTTTTTACACTTTTATTTTGTTGGACTTTAGTTGGTATTTGGAATACCCTGTTCCTGAGAGCTTTTCGGTGTAACAGGAAAGACAGGTTGGAAAGCCAATAAAGGTATTCCCGTGTTTTGGGTGTTAAAATAGACACTTATTCATGGTACCTGGGGCCCCAGGGACACTGTTATTTCAGTTGGACTGAGCTGTAGGGAGTCCTGTGAGATGCAGTGTTTAGGAGTTTGTTGGTTTATTCAGGTAAAAGAGGATCCACTAGAAAAGTGTTTATTTAGCTATTCCCTCAGGATTAGCAGAAAGAAAGTGGCAAAAAACAGTCTTGATTTGGGAACTACAAATCAATTGTAGCAGGTCATAGATGGCAGGCATAGGAGTTTGTGGTACAATTAAACAGTTCAGAGTGAGTAAATTTTTAAATTAACAGAAAATTGTGAAAAAAATTTGTGAAATTCTTCAGATATATTAAGAAATAAAAGTACCAGAAATCATTCATTGATATAAATGCAGTTTGTTGACTAATTATAAAACATAAACTCATGGACCTGGGAATCAGAATTTGTCAATTCTTGTCACCTTCCTTTTGACTGACTACGTGGCCTTGGACAAGTCATGTACTTGTCATTGGAACTAGGCAGACAAAATATTCTCTAACCCAGGGGCATATTTATTAATTGAGAACAAGGAATTGAAATTTAAGTCAAAGGTGATTGCTTTCTTGCCTTTATATTATGTGATATAAGTGGAAACTGGATACTTCAAAATTACTTATAGTCTTAACATGTTCTTTACTAGAAGGGTAAATTGTCATCCTAGCACATATTTCAAATTGTTTTGCCCAAATTAATGGTGATGTTTTGGAGGTTAGGTAATTGCAGAGGAGTTGTTTAATAATCCATGTTTGGGAGAATTATATTTTGTTTCCGATTCAGGGCATAATTTTCAAAAGATAAAGATCATGATAATTTACACCATTATCCTAGTTCCTAACACAACATTTCAAGATTTCACTTTGATGTAATTTTGGTAGGGTCTGTCAGATGAAATGATAAAAGGTGATTTAAAGTTTTCCAACATAGGAGGAATAAAGTAATTTAACAAGATTTATTCAATATATTAGATCAGCTTTAAAAAAAAAATGTATGCTTTTAAAATCACTTAAAGACCACATGTTCCCTTTTCAAATATTAGGTGCTGGAGTGTGGAGTTTGTGAAGATGTCTTTTCTTTGCAAGGAGACAAAGTTCCTCGCCTGCTGCTTTGTGGCCACACCGTCTGCCATGACTGTCTCACCCGCCTGCCTCTTCACGGAAGAGCAATCCGTTGCCCTTTTGATCGACAAGTAACAGACCTAGGTAGGAAAATATATGTGTATATATTTAAGGTTTAAGATTGTCCATGGAATACAAACATCATAGGAAAAATTTTTTTCCCACTTGATTTTTAAAATATACACTAGTAATTACAAGATGGATTCAGTTTCTATTAAGGCCAGTAGTCTTGTAAGTAAAAATTAGCTCAATCTTAGGTACTAATTTTATTTAATCTTATGAGATGTTTTTATTCAGTACTTGTTTATATATGAAGAACTTTTTAAGATACCTGAGAACATAACCTATTCAAAGAAATAAGAAAATTATTTTGCCTGAAGCCATTGATACAATAAAACAATTGGTTGTGACAGAATTTTTTAAAAAGAAAATAAACCTAAAACAGTGTGTTGCACACTGTAAGAGTGAACACTGGTATGTGAAACTTTTGTTTCAGTTATATATATGACATGTGTTCCTGGGTTGCAATGAAAACTGTATTTCTTACCTTAGGCTACTATAAAAATATTTCAAAGCACTTATTTTAGAATAGATAGTAAAAGTCAGTGACAATAGGATTTATAAAGTTAAATGATAGGAAAATAATAAAACTTGAAAATATGTTTTTATTTAGAATGATGAGGAGTTCTGTTTTTTAAAGAGGATATTAAGAAAATGGGGGAAATTTGCATTTTAAAAATTTAGACATTAATGGCTAAACTTCTTGACAGAAATTACTATTGAGGTATGAGATAAAGTGATTATAATTGTATTCTGTTAGATTTAATTTTAATTTTTATATTTATTCTAGGAGATTCAGGTGTTTGGGGATTGAAAAAAAATTTTGCTTTATTGGAGCTTTTGGAACGACTGCAGAATGGACATATTGGTCAGTATGGTGCTGCAGAAGAAGCCATTGGGACATCTGGAGAGGTATTGATTGAACTTGGTGAAATATTTGTTATGAGCATGGATTTTTTCATTTAATTTAAAACATTTGCCATAAAAAGCACAATATTACCTCACTTATTCCAGCAGGTAGGATCCCAGAAATACAACTTTTCATACATTACAATTCTTAAAGCAACAATAATTCCAACAGAACAAAAGTAACACTAAAACCTGAATTCTTTCACAATACTATACCCAAACTCTGTCTTGTGTATAAGCTTGTCTCCCCATCCTAATTCCTTTCTATCCCAGAAAGTGAAAGAGTGAGACTATGGAAGAGTAAAGCCGAGGATACAGAAGTGAACTGGTGAACAGGAAAGGAGGGAGGGAGGGAGGGAAACTTTATGAAGGAGGCTATTTAACATAGAAACAAAATGCCTTAAAGATAGCACTAGCTCCTGAGGGAACTACTACTAAATTTCTTTATGAGAAGGTTAAATTATGTGTAGGCGTATCCTCTTTTTCCAGACAGATCTATTAGAAGTCCATGAACACAAATTAAAATACATTTTTAACACTTATGGAATTAATTACCTGCATAGCTCATAGGCTGTTCTGGATATAAAAATAGTTGTAGTAATTAGCAGTTACTGATTTTGGTGATCAACATCAAGGTTAAAGAAGTAAAAATGATTTCACTTCTATTAAATCATGATGATTTCTTTATATAAAGTAAATCCTTAAAATGAATTTCAAACTGAAGCATTGTTTTCTGAAATTTTTGCAGTTCTTTCAACACACTCTAGATATTATCTTTATTTCAAAAGTCATTATAGTATTATCTGATGTTGACCTTGTAAATTACTTGTCAGATCTTGGAAAGCGAAGACATGAATTTTTATTTTACATGTACATATTTCCCATAATTGCAAACAAAGCTGTCTAACTTCGTGTTCTTTTTTAAACTTGTAATATTGAGTGACACCATTGATGTATTTTAAAATTTTTATTTTTGGAAAAATTTTATACCAAATCTCTCCCTTTCTAATTATGGCCTTTTAATGTTCAGCAAAAAAATTCCAATGCTTTCTTGGTGATCTGACATGTAAAATTTTCCAACTTGAAGCTTTTTAATAATTAATGAAAATTAGAAATAATACTTAAAATGGGGGATGAGAACACATATGTAATACCTTAATCAATAAAGAAATTTAAAAAAAGAAATACTTAAAAAGCTTAATACTTAAAAGCATAGGTGTTAATTGTTTATTTGCTTAAATCAGTGGCTTTCAGTTAGAATTGTGCATTGGACTCACCTGTGAAGCTTTAGAAACAAGTACACAAACTCAGACTTCATCTCTAACCTATTGAATTCTTTCCCAGGTTGGATTCTTGGCAACATGGTTTTATTTTTATTTTTCTCAAATCTTTATTGTTGAAAATATTACATATGCTCACCCCCCCAACCCCCCCTTCCCCAATTAGCCCTCTTTGGCACCATGGTTTTAAAAACTTTATAGCTAATTCTGATGCACACCCCTTGCTGTCTAAGCATTGTGCTTCTCTTCTTCCTACATATCATTCTGACTTAAAGCAGTGGATATGTTTTGTTTTGTTTTTTAATTAATCCTCACCCGTGGATATTTTTTTTTTTTTTTTTTTTTTTTTTTTTTGAGAGAGAGAGAGAGAGAGAGAGAGAGAGAGAGAGAGAGAGAGAGAGAGAGAGAGAAACATTGATGTGAAAGAAACACATTCTGCATGTGCCCTGACCAGGCCCTGGGCCGGGGAGAGCCTGCACCCACGGTACATACCCTGGACTGGAATCAAACATGGGACCCTTTGGTTCACAGGCCAATGCTGTATCCATTGAGCCAAACCAGTGAGGGCTAAAGCAGTAGGTATGTTTTTAATATCAGTGGTTTTAGTCTTAAAAAAAGAATTCTAACCTCTATTCAGTTTCTTTCTTGTAAAGCGAAGGGATTTTGTAGAAGTTAACTTTACTCTGACTGTGAATCTATGAGAATAGTTTTATTTTTGGCCTCAAGTACATTAGCATATATTGATAACCAATTTTGGGTATAGCTTCTCACCCATAGAAATAAATACTTTCTCAGGTGAGTAATGAATGAGTACAAATACAATTTGTTCTAATTACCAGTGTATTTTCATATAAAAAGGCTGATTAGTTATAAAAAAAAAAAAAGATTATAGGCTTTTATGTTTAAAAATTTGTCATGCTATGGTGATTGGAGTTCAGTCTAAGACATTAATTTGTTTTTATCAGAGCATCATTCGTTGTGATGAAGACGAAGCTCACGTTGCATCTGTATATTGCACTGTATGTGCAACTCACTTGTGCTCAGAGTGTTCCCAAGTTACTCATTCTACAAAGACATTAGCAAAGCACAGGCGGGTGCCTCTCGCCGATAAACCTCATGAGAAAACCATGTGCTCTCAGCATCAGGTGCATGCCATTGAGTTTGTTTGTTTGGAAGAAGGCTGTCAAACTAGCCCACTTATGTGCTGTGTCTGCAAAGAATATGGAAAACACCAAGGTCACAAGGTATGAATATAATTAAACTGGGTGATTTTACTTAGCTTACCAGCTCACAGTTTGTTTGGTAGACTGAAAAGAAATGAGATTTAATTTCTGAATAACAAAAATTTCAGTAGAGAAGCATCATGATTCTTTTTTTTTTTTTTTTTTTTAATATATTTTTATTGATTTCAAAGAGGGAGAGAGAGATAGAAGCATCAACGATGAGAGAGAATCATAGATCGGCTGCTTTCTGCACGCCCCCGCACTGGGGATTGAGCCCATAGCCGAGTCATGTGCCCTTGACAGAATCGAACCTGGGACCCTTCAGTCCACAGGCCAATGCTCTATCCACTGAGCCAAATAGGCCAGGGCATGATTCTTTCTTTAGTGAAAATAGCTTTCCAGCAGGAAAAAAAAGTTATCTTCTTTAGTGCATGTCTCCATAATGCACTGGATTGTTTTGATAATATTTATGTCTGTTGATGAACTACTTGTGATAAAATTTTAGATAATTGTGGTTTCTTGGTTAATGAGAAATGGATTTGTAAAAATTAAATTATTGCTTTGCAGGATAAATAGTTATTGGGTGAAGGCGAATTAGCATTTTGTATGCTGTGCTTTTGTAGATGTGGTAAAAAAGCCACTTGTGGTTGAAAGTTTTTTAATTAATAGGAGTCATTTAAGTAATTTTTTATATCATTGGTCAAATACTATGAGTTTTTTATATAATGTTGCATTTTATAGCATTCAATATTGGAACCAGAAGCTAACCAGATCCGAGCATCAATTCTAGATATGGCTCACTGTATACGGACCTTCACTGAGGAAATCTCAGATTATTCCAGAAAGTTAGTTGGAATCGTTCAGCACATTGAAGGAGGAGAACAAATAGTGGAAGATGGAATTGGAATGGCTCACACAGAACATGTATGGATTTTTAAATTTGTTCTTTACCTTTTACCCTTTTCCCTTCTTACCTTTCACCTTCTATTATTTATTGAGCAATTATACTGCACTAATCATGAAATAATTTTTTAAAATTACTTATTGTCTAAAGTTTTACATATGTCTCCCTTTTCATCCCTTAACTCCATCCCCTCTAGCCATTCCCACCCCAGTGTCTATGTCCATTGGTTATGCTAATATGCATTCATACAAGTCCTTTGCTATCTAGACCACCCCCCCCACAGAGCTAATGTGAAGATACAAATTTTAGAATTCTTAAGGATATAGATTGTATTTAAATTTTTATTATTTCACATACACAATCTATGTTATAATTTTTTTTTCATTTAAAAATTTAAAAAAATATATTTTATTGATTTTTTATAGAGAGGAAGAGAGAGGGATAGAGAGTTAGAAACATCTACGGGAGAGAATCATCGATCAGCTGCCTCTTGCATACCCCCTACTGGGGATGTGCTGGCGACCAAGGTATATGCCCTTGACCAGAATTGAACCCGGGACCTTTCAGTCTGCAGACCAATGCTCTATCCATTGAGCCAAACCAGTTTCGACTGTTTTTTTTTTTTTTTTTTTTTTTTTTTTAAGAGAGGAAGGGAGAGGGAGAGAGGATCAGAAACATTGATGAGAGAGAAACATCAATCGGCTGCCTCCTGCACATCCCCCACTGGGATGTGTCCGCAACCAAGGCACATGACCAAGGACCCCTGAGCCCACAGGCCAACACTCTGTTCACTGAGCCAAACAAGTCAGGGCATTCTTTGTTATAGTTAGAGTTGCTTAAACTTTATTTTCTTAGGTACCAGGTACTGCAGAAAATGCCCGGTCATGTGTTCGAGCTTATTTTTCTGATCTACATGAAACTCTGTGTCGTCAAGAAGAAATGGCTTTAAGTGTTGTTGATGCTCATGTTCGAGAAAAATTAATTTGGCTCAGGCAACAACAAGAAGATATGACTATTTTGTTGTCCCAGGTTTCAACAGCCTGTCTCCATTGTGAAAAGACTTTGCAGCAGGTAGGTAGTTTAAACATAGGAAGGAGATAGTTAAAGGAAAAGAAACTTAAAGGTTAAGTAGATAATTACCAGAGGTACACACTAGTCTATTTTATTACTTTAATAAATATTGTTATATTATTATATGTTACTGCATTCATTAACATTCTTCTTAGGACATGGTCTCTATAACTTCCAATTGTTCCAACCAACAAATCGGTGTCCTCTTCTTCATGTGCCCTCCCCACCATAAAACCAGGGGTTCTAGAACTTCTAACTCTGTCATTCTTCAATTCATAGCACATGTAATTATGGCTCATTCTCATAATGGTATATAATGAGTGTATGAATTACATTTCACAATTTATTCATTCTTCTGTTGATAGGTTCTCAAATTCTTTATTAGTGCCTGATTATTTTTATCCTAGTCAAATCTACATTTAGGTTAACTTTGAATATTATAATCTTATATGATCTTTTTTTGAGGTTTGATAATATCTCTTTTTTTACCTTGTTTATAAGAATACTGTCTTCTCTTTCCTAGGATGATTGTAGAGTTGTCTTGGCAAAACAAGAAATTACAAGGTTACTGGAAACATTGCAGAAGCAGCAGCAGCAGTTTACAGAGGTTGCAGATCACATTCAGTTGGATGCCAGCATCCCTGTCACTTTTACGAAGGTAATATACCTTACTGCACTTTAGGTTTCTTTTCTGATGAATCATTGCTTAAATTCCATGACAATCAGCTTGAAAAGACAACTAAGAAATTCATGAATCATTGGATTAAGAAAATCTATTAGTGAAAAATAGAAAGGGGTTTAAGGAATCCTTGTACCCAACACTCACTTTAATAGTGAAAAACTTTTTTTTTTTTTTTTAATATATTTTATTGATTTTTTACAGAAAGGAAGAGAGAGGGACAGAGAGCTAGAAACATCGATGAGAGAGAATCATCAATCAGCTGCCTCTTGCACACTCCCCACTGGGGATGTGCCCGCAACCAAGGTACATGCTCTTGACCAGAATCGAATCTGGGACCTTTCAGTCCTCAGGCCGATGCTCTATCCACAGAGCCAAACCGGTCTTGGCAACAGTGAAAAACTTTTAAATTTCATCTCTCCTTTCCCTATTCCCTTTTCTATCTGCAGGCTCCCAAGTTATTTTGAAATGAACCTCAACATACTTTATCCCATATAATTTCATCTATAAAATATTTTCAGGTATATTTCTAGAAAGTAAGGAGTCTTAAACATAACAAAAATTTTTAGCACACCTAAAAATGTAACAATAGATCTTTAATACCTTTCATTATCCAGTGAGTATTCAAAACTCCCAGACTGTTAAGAACTTTTTAAGTTTTTTTTTTTTTTTGTATGTGTTTTTTTTTTTAGGCAGAATCTTGTACTTGTTTGATATATTTTAATCTCTTTTAAAGTAGATTCCCCTAATTTAAAAACATGCATGTGTTTATGTTCTGTTTTTAGGGACTTCTAAAACAATTTAAAATTGTTTTATATAATGTGTAAAACATTACATACACACACACACACACACACACACACACACATATATATATATATATATATATATATATATATATATATATATATATATCTGCAGCCCTGAGATTACTGGATTGTATGGTAGTTCAGTTGCTCACATCAATGTCCAGAGTCAAATCTATAAAGCAAGATTCACACAGAGCAGTCTAGCTTCTATCCTTGACCCCCTACCCTCTCCTCCATTCCCCATAGAAAACTATTAAGAATTTTTTCTGAGTTTTATTCATCATTTAAAAATAGAGGAGGCCCTAACCGGTTTGGCTTAGTGGATAGAATATCAGCCTGTGGACTGAAGGTTTGATTCCGGTCAGGGGCATGTAACTCGGTTGTGGGCACATTCCCAGTGGGGGTATGCAGGAGGCAGCTGATCGATGATTCTCTCTCATCAATGTTTCTAACTCTATCCTTTTCCCTTCTTCACTGTTAAAAATATTGATAAAATATATTTTTTAAAAATAGAGGAAAATTTTATATTCTTACCTGCACACACTCTACATTTAAAGGTAGAATAGCTTGTACATTTCTCCACCTTGCCCTTTTCACTTCATGGCAGTATACAGTGACATTTTTTATTTCTTTTAATAACTGCAAGATACTTTATTGTGAGGATGTACCACATTTTTTTATTGTGGTAAAAAAATAAGAAATATTTACCATCTTCACCATTTTTAAATATACAATTTAGTATTGTTAAGTATATTCACATTGTGTGGATCAAATCTCCTGAAATGTTTCATCTTTCAATACTGAAACTCTGTGCCTTCTAAACAACAACTTCCTATTTCCCCTACTTTACCAGCTCTTGCTAACTTTGTTTGAATTTGACTACTCTAAGTACTTCATGTAAGTGGAATCATACATTATTTATCTTTTTGTGACTGGCTTATTTTATTTAGCACATTGCTCTAACAGTTAAATCTATGTTGTAAAATGTGACTGAATTGTTTGCTTATACCACCTTTTGTTTATTCATTTATCCATTGAAAGACATTAGTGTTACTTCCACCTCTTAGCTATTGTAAATAGTACTACTGTGAACATAGGTGTACAGATATTTCTTTGAGACCTTGCTTTCAATTTTTTTTGGATATATATCCAGCCACAAGATTACTGGATTGTATGGTAGATCAGTTTTTTATTTTCTGAGAAAATGTTGAACTATTTTTCATAGTGTTTGCACCATATTATAATCCCACCAGCAATGCATAGGGTTCTAATTTCTCTAAATTTTTACCACCACTTGTTACTTTTCGGTATTTTGTTTGGGGAGATAGTATTTTTTTATTTTTTTAATAGTAGCTGTCCTAATAGGTATGAAGTGATATCTCATTGTGGCTTTGATTTGCATTTCTCTGATGATTAGTAATGTTGAGTTGTAGGAGTTCTTTATATATTCTGGACATGAATCCATTATCAGGTACATGATTTGCAAATATTTCCTCCCAATACCTACATTTCTGCTTCATTCTGTTAACTGTGTTCTTTGATTCATAAAAGTTTTCATGATTGATACAGTCCCATTTGTCTGTTTTTGCTTTTGCTGACCATACTTTGGTGTCATATTGAGGAAATCATTCTGAAATCCAATGCCATGAAGCTTTTATCCTGTTTTCTTTTAGGGGTTTTATAGTTTTAGATCTCATGTTTTGGCTTTAATTTATATATTCATAATCCAACTTTTATAATTGCATATCTTCTTTTTAAATTCACCTTTTTATTCTATATAATTAATAAAAGTCTATATGCAAATCGTCCCCTCGGGCAGTCATTCTACTGGGAGACCAGGAGTTCAAGCGGTGACCAACCTTCTGTGGCACCGGGTGTCTGGCTTCGACCTTTCACCAGCTACCTGAGAGCGGGGGTGACACGGGGTTGGAAGTGCAGCGAGAATGCTGGGTGTCTGCTGAGCTTGTTCTCACTCTGCCTGCTAACCTCCCCTGGGATGCCAGGGCTCACGCTCCAGGGAAGCCCCCGCACTCAGGTGCCGGGTGCACCTGCACAGCCTCTTCCAGGTGAGCCCGGCCATAGCCATAGAGACTGCAGGGGCCAGCCGGGCTCCCTGTGGGTTCGCACAGGAGCTGGTCTGTGAGGCCAGCCGGCAGAGAGCACGCTGCCCACCTGGCTTCCATGCAGCACTGCAGGGCGGCCCAGAGGCCCACACTGTGCCCTGGCCTGCGGTGTCTGGCCACGCTTGCTGCATCTCCGCATGGGGACTCACACACCGTGACTCAGGTGGAGGGGGCATGCGGGGGCCAGGCCAGATGTGCTTAGATCGCCAGCCAGGCCTAGGGACTGCACCGGTGCAAAAATTTCATGCACTGGGCCTCTACTTATCAAATAAGGAGCTTCTGTATCTCTCATAACGGTTTCTGACTTAAAAAGTATATTGTCTGATAGGATAACCATCCCTCCTCTTTTGGGTATGATTTGAATGGAATATTTTTTCCCATCCTTTCACTATGAACCTATATGTCCTTAGATGTAAAGTGAGTCACTTATAGACAGCCTATTGTTGGATCTTGTTTTTTCTTCCTTTTTTAAATCTTGTTTTTTCATCCATATAGTCAAACTATGTCTTTTGATTGGGGAGCTAAATCCATTAATATTTAAAATAATTATTGATAAGTAAGGACTTACTATTGCCATTTTGTTAAATGTTTTCTATATATCATGTAGCTATTTTTTCTCTCCTTTCCTCCCTTACTGCCTCTTTTTTTTTGTATTTTATTGTTTTGGAGTGCCATGGTTTGATCTCCTTCTAATTTTCTTTTTTTAAAATATTTTATGGAGGGTTTTTTTGGTGTGTTTACCATTGTCATTACATAAATATTCTATTTTAAACGTTAACACTTTAACTTCAATTACATACCTATTTTATTCCCCACACTTGGTTACTGATGTCACAAAACACATTTTTATATACTGTATACCTATTAACAGGCTTACAGTTAAAACATTTTCAATTACAGTTTACATTCACCATTATTTTGTATTTATTTTAGGGGTATAAAATGTTTTTGTTATTTCAAGTCTATAAAAATTAAATTTATATACCCAGATTACAACAGTACAGATGACTATTTGTTCACAGCTAGTGATAATGACTCCCTCAGCTTTTGCTTTTCTGGAAAAGTCATTTTTTCCTTCCTTTTTGAATGACAGGTTTGGCATATATAGCATTCATTGTTGACAGCTTTTTTCTTTTTAAAAAATTATTTTTAAATTAGTTTATATTCAGAATTATTCTGTGTTAGTTTCAGATGTAGAGTATAGTGATTAAAGACTTATGTACTTTACAGAGTAATCCTACCCTGATGTTTCAGGTACTTACCTGGCCCCATATATATTTATCGAGATATTGACTATATTCCCTATAGTAGAATCTATATGTATGTGATTAGTCCATAAATACCAATTTGTACTGCTTAATCCCGTCACCTTTTTCACCCAGCTGCTGTCCCCTCCCCTTTGACAACTGTCAGTCAGTTCTGACAGTTTTATTTTATTTTATTTCAGCACTTTGACTATATTCTCCCACTCCTTTCTGGATTCCAAACTTTCTGCTGAGAAATCAGCTGGTAATCTTATGGAAGCTCCCTTGTATGTGATGAGTCTTTTTTTCTCTTGCTGCTTTTAAGATTCTTTATCTTTGACTTATGACAGTTTGATTATAATGTGTCTCAGTGTGGGTCTCTTTGGGTTTATCCTAGTTGGCATGCATTGAGTTAGAATTTTTATGTCCATTTCTCTCCTCAGATTGGGAAGTATTCAACCATTATTTCTTCAGGTAAGCTCTCTCTGCCCCTTTCTTTCTCTCTTCTCTTTCTGGGACTTTCACAAGATAAGTGTTGATCTCCTTGCTAGTGTCCCATAAATCCTTTAGGGTTTCTTCACTCACTTTTTTTCTCCTCTAACTTGATGATTTCAAATTACTTATCTTCAAGTTTGGTGATTCTCTCTTTTGCCTGATGAAGTATGTTATTGAAACCCTCTAGTGAACTTTTTCAGTGCAGTTACTATATTTTTATCTCCAGAATTTTAGTTCTTTTAAAAAAATTCTATTTCTTTTTAATGGATCAACTGAAGGACTTGTATACATGCATTTAAGTACAACCAATGGACACAAAACTCAGGGGAGGGAGTTTATCTATGGGAGAGGGGGAATGGTAAGATATGTACACAGATAATAATTTAGAAAAATAAAAAAATAAAAATGGGAAAAAAATTCTCTTTGATATTCTAATTTGCCTATTCTTTGTTTTCCTGATTTTATTTATTATCTGTGTTTCTTTTAATTTACTAAGTATCTCTATTACAGATATTTCAAGTTCTTTGGCAACTCATAGATCTGGAATTTTATTTATTCCTTTGATTGATTCATGTTTTCCTGTTTCTTTTATGCCTTGTCCTATTTTTTGTTGAGGTTTGGGCATTTGAATAAATAACCACCTCTCCCAATCTTTATGAACTGGCCTTGAGCCTGGAGAGACCTTCACCAAGCTAGAGATTCTAGAATTCTAAAGCCTTTTCTGGGGTTTATCGTCTCTGGGTTGGTGTGTGTGCTTTAGCTGCCTTGAATTCTTGAAGCAGCTTGCCTCTGCATTTTTTCAGAAGCCAGTAATCTCTTATCCTCGCTGCACAACAGGAGTTCTAATGTGCCATGTCCTTGCCTCTGTTTCTAGTGGCGTTCAAACTGTGCCATTGTTGTCCCTAAGAGGTTCAAGTTGGGTGAGACAGTAACCGGTCACTATTTAAGGCAGACTCCAGATGAGCCAGAACACGGGACGCTGAGTAAAATCTCATGTTTCTGTCCTGGTATTGGGAGTTTTCCTTTTAATTGCATTATGCCATAACAGGTTAGGCAGGGGCATAGATGGATATGCAGAATTCTGACAATTTTCTTATCTCTTTTGTTGGAATCCCTTTTTCGTTTTTTGTTGCCCTGATGTTTAGCTTCACAACTGGTCTCTAGAATCCTCACAAAGATAATCTGGTCCATATATTGTTTTATTTCTGAAGTGTAGGACTGTGTGAAAGTGTATATTTAGGAGCCATCATCATAAAGATGGTAACTGAAGCACATGGAGTAAATGAGAATATGTAGATAAGAAACAGACCTCATATAGACTTTCAAGTACACCAATATTTAAAAGGTAGACAAAAGGAAAATGGGAGGGAGCATCCAAAAAGGTGGGATAAAAACTAGGATAGGGTTGTATCATAAAAGAAAAGCATGCTAAAATGAGGAGGCAAAATAATAGTTACCAACAATTATTTAGGAGCTGCTGTAAAGACTTTTATACATGTTTAAAAAAAATCCTTTGTGTAAGTTTGGTACTATTTTAATCCTCAATTTATATTGATGATAGATGAGAGAAGTGAAGCTGAGAGGTCATGAAGCTAGTAATATGTACATTCATTACAAGAAGTTGTTCATTATGATAAATTCAGAGATGATCTAACATCTGTCAGTTGGGGATTGGTTAAATCTTGGCTTAATATAACCAAGTAATTGAAAGAGAAAGGCAGGTTTTTATGTTTTGAAATGAAGTTATTCTATAATATACTGTTGAGTATAAAAGTTAGTTGAGCCAAAACCGGTTTGGCTCAGTGGATAGAGTGTTGGCCTGTGGACTGAAAGATCCCAGGTTTGATTCTGGTCAAGGGCATGTACCTTGGTTGTGGGCACATCCCCAATGGGGGTGTGCAAGAGGCAGCTGATTAATGATTCTCTCTCATCGATGTTTCTAACTCACTATCCCTCCTCTCTTCCTCTCTGTAAAAAAATCAATAAAATATATTTAAAAAATAAAATAAGTTAGTTGAGTGTATATATATATTTTTTTAAATTTATAATCTTAAAATGTATTCTTGGCTTGGCTGGTGTGGCTCAATGGTTTAGCATAGACCTATGAACCAGGAGGTTATGGTTCAGTTGCCAATCAGGACACATGCCAGGATTGTGGGCTTGATCCCCAGTGGGGGTCATGCATGAGGCAGTGATCAATGGTTCTCTTTCATCATCGATGTTTCTCCCTCTGTCTTCCTCTCTGAAATCAATAAAAAAATTCTTTTTAAAATATATATTTGTTTTGCCTTGGCTAATGTTTCTAAGTGGTTAGAGCAACCGAAAAGTTGCAGGGTAGATTTCTGGTCAGGGCACGTGTGGAAGGAAATCGGTTGATGTGCTTCTTTCACATCAATGTTTTCTCTCTCTCTCTTTACCTCCTCTCCTCCTTCTCTTCCACTCTCTCTGAAAAATCAATGGAACAAATATTTTCAGGTGAGGATTAACAAATAAACAAAAAGTATATTTGTTTTGTTTGTGTATATTAACTAGTATGTTCCTAGGAAAGTGTCTGGTGGTATATACACTGAGTGGCCAGGTTATTATGATTTCTGAATGCATAATAATCTGGCCACTCAGTGTATATCCTTATATAATAAAAGGCTAATGTGAAAATTGCCCTCTCAACCAGGAATTCGACCAGCAGGCAGGCCAGCCAGCTGCTATGTTCCCTCCCTCTACCCAGGCTGGCTGGACCCCACCCATGCACGAATTCATGCACCGGGCCTCTAATACACACACACACACACACACACACACACACACACACACACACACACACACAGAGTGGCCAGATTATTATGCATTCAGAGATCATAATAATCTGGCCACTCAGTATATATGCAGTTGTTAACTGTATATTTCTGGGAAGTGAGCAGCAATTTTCATTTTTAATTAACATATTTATTAACATACAGCATAAGAACCCTTCGAAGATTCAGTTGAGCCAAAAATATCTGGATGCCCTAGTCGGTTTGGCCCAGTGGATAGAGCGTCAGCCTGCAGACTGAAGAGTTCCAGGTTTGATTCTGGCCAAGGGCACATGCCTGGGTTGTGGGCTTGATCCCCAGTGGTGGTGCGTGCAGGAAGCAGCCAAGCAATGATTCTCTCTCATCATTGATGTTTTTATCTATCCTTCCTTCCTCTCTGAAATCAATAAAAATATATTTAAAACAACACACACACACACACACACACAACAAAAATATTTGGAGAAATTAAATTCATTTTTAATTTATATAAAAATAAAGTAGTAGTCAGTTTTAGTAAAGGATAGGGTATTAAGGAATACTACTCTTTTCTTTCAGATCAGATTTCAGTGATTGAGGAATGAATAGGAGAAAAGACCATAATTAACAATGACATTTTATAAGTAAAAGTATAAATCTTAATGCTTTCTAACTATGTCAAAATTAAAATCTTAAAATATTTTTAAAATTATAGGACAATAGAGTTCACATCGGACCAAAAATGGAAATTCGAGTTGTTACATTAGGATTAGATGGTGCTGGAAAAACTACTATTTTGTTTAAGTTAAAACAGGATGAGTTTATGCAACCGATTCCAACAATTGGTAAGTATGAGTATTGCTTTTTACCTTAACAAATCCTGGCTTACAGTTGGGTTTTTGGGCTCTTATAATATGCCAATCTGTCATGGAGATGGGCTTTTTTTCCTGCCTGTAAGACACCGGCATTTCAGAGGAAAAATGCAAGATTCAGTGGCTGTAGGATTGAAATGTGGATGGTGAGATAATAAGAAGGAACAGAATTTTGGTGGGACAAGTGGGAAGGAATGAGTGCTGACCTTGTTGAGGGTTAAGGGTGAGGGGTTGGTAGTGGTGCAGAGTTCGCAGGTATTTGTGTTTTAAGGATCCTATTTTAGGGGACTAATAAGTGATAAAGGTATACATTACCCACATAGGTTGATTAGGAGTGGAGTTGGTTGGGCAGAATAGATATTGCTGTTTGAAGATAATCGTAAGTCACAGTTATAAACAGGGAGATACCTTGTGTTGGTGTGTCACTCACTATAAATATAAGTTCAGTATTAAAATAACTTTTTTTTTTTGCCGAAACCGGTTTGGCTCAGTGGATAGAGTGTTGGTCTGCAGACTGAAGGTCCCAGGTTCGATTCCGTCCAGGGTCATGTACATTGGTTGCGGGCACATCCCCGGTGAGGGGTGTGCAGGAGGCAGCTGATAAATGTTTTTCTCTCATCGATATTTTTAGCTTTCTATCCCTCTCCCTTCCTCTCTCTGAAAAATCAATAAAATATATTTAAAAAATAAAAATAAATAAATAAAATATTTTTTAAAAAGGAATATGTCCTTATGGCCCTTTTTCTATTAAAAAAAATAACTTTTTTTCTTAAATACAGGTTTTAATGTGGAAACTGTAGAATATAAAAATCTGAAGTTCACTATTTGGGATGTAGGTGGAAAACACAAATTAAGACCATTGTGGAAACATTATTACCTGAATACCCAAGGTAAAAGAAAAAAATGACATCTTACTTTTTCAGATTTTTAGGATGCCAGTTTTCAGTATATTGATTTACTTAAATAGTAAAGCTGATATTTAAGCATTTATTAAATATTGATTATACCTTTAAATATTGGTGGCCAGACTCACATTATTTAAAAAACGAAGGTGGAAAGGCTGGAATATATACTTTGGTATAGTTCATGAAAAAACCATAATTATAGCATAACACAATACTTAGCTTATATATGTGGGCTGTTATGAGTACTGCTTGTTAACAGTTAAATTATTAGTGTCATGAGTATTATCACTGGCAGTATTGAGGAATATAGAATTTGTGGTGTATGGTTATGCTGCTCAATTCAATTAAACATTTATCCCATTGTAATATCTGAAAAGCTCCATTTTCATTCAGTTATCTGTAGAACCACCGATAGTGGTTTGCTGTAGACCAAACTCTGATACGTCACATATATTTCACCCAGCATTTATTCATATTTGGACCCCATTCTAACTTTTGCCTCCTATATCCCAATATGAAGCTTATGTTTCTGCCACCTTTCCCATACGTCATCCTATTTTCCACCTAGAAGAGAGATTAGATAATTACGTTTATTTTCGGATTTTTGATATTTAGTATGAGTATTTTAATGGAAAAAAAGGAATTTTGATCATGAGGAATGGTTAAATGTCTGAATATGTTGTCTGAATACTAAAGAGTATTCATTCAATAGATATTTATCAAGTTACTGCTGAGTATTTTGAATACAATCTATGTGGAAAGTGCTATGCTTGGTGCCTAGAAAGAGTACTTTGGGGAGATAAAGGTGGTGATTTATTTGTAAAGGATTCTCTTTTTGTAAAAGAAATAGTAATCAATGAGTAAGTAGCACCAATAGGTAGATCATGAGAGGTACATTTTCATTCATTAAGAGGAAATATTAATTGGTAGAGCAAGTGTAAATCTTGTTATGGGTGGGGAAATGAAAGCTGAAAAGTTATGTGACCTATTTGAGATCATGCCATTAATTATTGCTCCTATAATAAGCAGCCTTTTCATAAAAATAACGGTAGAATACCCATAATATTATAATGAGAACATTAAATATTTTGTCCATTTACTGAAACTTAGCAGGTGACTAACTGAAATTTTTGTCATTTTGTTGGTAGCTGTTGTATTTGTTGTCGATAGCAGTCATAGAGACAGAGTTAATGAAGCACACAGTGAGCTTGCAAAGTTGTTAACAGAAAAAGAACTCCGAGATGCTTTGCTTCTGATTTTTGCTAATAAACAGGTAACACATTTGTATTTCAGAATACTTATTTTAGTAGTTTTGTGTATTTCACATCATAAGGTAGCTAGAAATATTTCAAAAGAGAAATAATTAGTAGATATTTATGAAGTTTCTGCTAAATATTCTGAATGCAATCTATGTAGAAAGTACAAATTCTGTGCTTCATACCTTGGAGTATTCAAAAAGAAGTAAGGCAGTTGATGTTCTCGGGAAACTCCAATGTATTTAAGTAAACATGTAAGTGAATATTTATGACATTCTAATACAAAGAAAACTGGTAAGTAACTTCAATCATATTATAATAACAAAGTGTTACGGCAAATTAGAGTAACTCTATAGGTGACATCTTATAAGATTTATAAAAAAAAAGTAGGATTTTGGTTGAAATTATGGATAAGTCTTTGAATAGTATGTGAAGGCAAGAATATGGTAGGCAGATAAAATAAAAGCATTTGTATTTTTAGGGAGCATCCAGTGGAACTATATGTGAGGAGCAGGTAGAGGATGAAGAAAATCTAGAAAAACAGATGAGGTCACATTGTGAGATATTTAGGTTTTATTCTGTGAGGAAAGGAGAACCATCAAAAGGTTTTTGGATTGGTTGGTTGTAAGATCGCATCATTGATTTCAGACTGTAATCCTGGTGGTAGGATGTAGAATTAATAAAGGCTAGAGAGACAGGAAGATGCAGTAAATTGCTGCAATAATTCAAGTGAGAGATTTAACAAGATCCCTATTTAGGGGAATAGATAGGCGGAAGCAGACTGAAGATATTTTATGATGGTAGAATTGTTAGAATTTGGTGATTGAAAGGGGAGGATGAAGGACAGAGAATAGCAGAAGATTTCTAGATCTTGACCAAAGTTTCTAGGAGGATCAAAATGGTTTTAACTGCCACAGAGTGACTTACATGTCATAAGGAGGAATAGGATGAGGAATATAGGATCCCCCTAATTAAAAAATGGCCAAAATAAGCCGATAGGCTTTACTGTACTTATGATTAAAGACATACAAATAAGACAAAGTAAAATATCATTTTCTTATGATCACATTGTGAAAGACAAAAATCTTTGAGAATCATCAGACTCACATAAACTATGCTGTGGTTAGTAAACTGAAACATTTTCTTAGGGAGAAATGTTTATACCCTCTTACTCTGTAATTATACCTCTAGTAATATATTCTGCAGACAGATATCCTAAGATTATTCCACAGATACTTTTGCAAATTATATAAAAAGTATGTATATATATATGTATGTATTTGTAAAAGCACATAAGCACACAGCTTCAGTATAAGATTGGAACATTTGGTATAGTACTGGTAAAGAAAATGATGTTGCACCTGCACAGCGGAACGCAATTCACATGTTAAAATTAATGTGGAAATCTGTTTGTCGTGATAATGGAAAGCTACCTATATTCAACATGTGTGTTAAGTAAACAACAAACAAAATTAGAGTATGTTTCTATTCGTGTTTATTCATACAATTGTGCATGAAACTTTTCTGGAAAAATATGAGAATATTATGTGTATGTATCTTTCAGGATGTTGCTGGAGCCCTCTCAGTAGAAGAAATCACTGAACTTCTCAGTCTTCACAAACTGTGCTGTGGCCGTAGCTGGTATATCCAGGGCTGTGATGCTCGAAGTGGGATGGGACTATATGAAGGGCTGGACTGGCTCTCACGGCAGCTTGTGGCTGCTGGAGTATTGGATGTTGCTTGACTTTAAATGCAGCAGTTGTTTCAAGTTTTGTGGTTAAGAGTTCTTTTGCACATAATATATTGTAAGAAATTCTACATCTCAAAGATAGTTAATTTAGGATATGTATATGAAAGGAATTTTGGATTGGGAATTCAGTACAATATTGCTTTACCAAAATTATTCTATGGCAACATTTAAATATCTTATTGAGATTAAATTGGATTAAATAGGGACTTCTTTAGTTTGTATTTTTTAAAATGTACATTTGTTAGTGAGTTTTTCAGATTATATGTGACCCATATATTGAGAAAGAAATAGTTACAGAGAAAGGGTAAGTGAAAGTGTATTCTTATAGCCAACCGAGTGCCTAAAGACCTCAGTGCAGCAAGTGAAGCATGGCTTCTTGTCTTTCCTGAATTCTGGCAGTATTTAGTAGTAAGAATGGTAATGACTTAATGAAATAGGATCCACAAATTGCATCTTTGGGTTATAGGATTACTTTTACCTTTAGTAACAGAAAAACTTTAAAGCTAAGACTATAAGCTATAGAAAATTAATATTTTATACAATGTTTTATTAAGACTTTCTCCTAAAGCATTTCGTATAAAACCCAGTGAGTCAAAATGAAATGCTGCCTAACTAGGCCTGATTTGTAACATTGGTACTAACCTGAAGAATAATTAATAATAATAAAACTGTGAAAGTCAGTTATGTTCTAGTTGATCTTCACTTATGAAAGACCAGTTTTCAGAGCTGAACCTGGATGTATTATTTCCTAGGTTATAACTCTAAACTAGCCCTTCTACCTTTTCAGCATATTTATTGTTTTTTTTGTTTTTTTTTAAATTGCATCCTTAGTGAGAACTACTATACATAAAAGGTAGTAAGTACACAAAGAACCAGGGCTGCCTTTACATAAAAGAGACATCTAAGTAGAAAATTACCTTTACCTTATGAGAAGTCATTTAAACAGTGTGTGTGTGGGGGGGGGAATGCTTAGCATTTACATCATTTGAAATGTTTTACCAAAATAAGTGCATTTATCTTGACAATAAACGTAATTAAGGTTCTTTGTGACAAGACCTTGAAAAGCTAAGAGAAAAGCACATCTAAGAAAAGAAATATTGAAAAAGTTAACATCGCATTTATTATGCAGTATTGTAAAAGTTTAGAAAATTCTGTACTCTTTACTGGTTTTCATATTTTAAGGATGTTCTCTTATTTTGGCAGTATAATTTATTATGTTTGAACATAGCTAGATTGGATTTCTTGTGTTTTTTCTTTTAATCCTTACCCAAGGACATGCTGAGAGAAAGAAAAACATTAACGTGAGAAGAGAAACATTGATCAGTTAGTTACCTTCTGTATGCTTCCTCACTGGGGATCAGACCTGCAACCCAGGTGTGTCCTGACTGGGAGTCAAACTGGCAACCTTTCCGTGCGAGGGATGACGCTCCACCATCTGGGCCACTCTGGCAAGGCGGATTTCATGGCTTTTTAAAATGCTTTCTATCTTTTAGGATGAAGTTCAATCATGATCTTAGTTGAACTACTATGAGGACATTAATGTCTGATGACAAGATATGACTTGGTGGTACTGTTTTAGTTCATTCTCTACAAATGTATTTTTGTTTAAAAACAACAAAATACATTTTAATTTCTAATACTTTTAGAAAACAAAGCACTAAAAAACTGTCCATTAGTATTATGGGCATTGTGTAAATAATATAATTATATTGTCCTTTATTTTTCAAGTAAAAGGTTATGCTGTTACTTGTGTAGTTTGTGCATATAAATAATACTTATGAATTAAATTATTTAATATTGGACTGATTGCAATAACTGTGAAAAATAAAGATGTTACATTTGCCTGTGAGCCCTTGAACTGTTTATCTAATAGGTAATTGAAAGAAAAATGTCTAACACTAATATGTAAACTTGCTTTCCTTGTAAATTATTTTTATTTTACTAATTTTCTTAAACTTTGTAATTCACATTCTTAGCATATTACTAAACACAATTTTTAAAACTGTGCTTAGACCTGGTTATAATGTACATAATAGTAATGTTTGTGTTTTTTTTAAGAAATATTTTTCTTAGGCCATTATTACTATTCGTGATTATATTCTTTCACTAATGATTAGTTAAGATTGTGCTAGTTCTCTCTGGGAACTGTCAAATTTAATAATAAGAGAAACATGTTAAATACAATCTACTAGGATTTGATTCCTAGCCCTGAGTTTCTGTATTAAGCCTACATATTACTGTATGATTTGTGTAAAGCAGGTTTTTCAAGTGAGTAGCCATGGTGTGTAATTCTGGAATGCTTTATGATCACCAGAAGCCATTTTTGCATTACACATACGATCAGTATAGACAGCAATAAACTGTTACAATCCTTTTAAAGAAGTCCTATCATTATTCTAAAACTTGTTTCTTGAACCATCTAATAGTAGTGGTAGTAACTATTTTTAAAAGTCATGTTTAATATAAAACTGAAACTTATGTACATAAACAGCAACGTGGTGGTTGCCAGAGGGAGGTGGTGGGGGAAGAAAAGGATCCTAATATGAGGTGACAGGAGAAGATTTGAGTTTGGGTGGTGGGCACATGGTCCTGTATATAGATTTTCTAAGTTAGTAATCCACACATGTAGACTAATGTCACCCCAATAAAATTTAATGAAAAAAAAAATTATGTTTGTGTTGTGAAGACAACAAAATAGGGTAGGGATTCACATGTCAAATTTGAAATGTAGTATATTAAAGGTTTAGAAATATTGTAGTCTGTATTTGCAACATCACATTTTAATGAGTATTATAACTAGTGTTTTGACTAAAATTTTGCATTGAAATCTATTGTTTTTTAAATATTAAACTTAACCTTGTTTCATTTGAAAACATAGCATTTTATTTTGTGTGTGTGTTTTGTTTTTGTTTTTTAATTAAATTTATTGGGGTGACACTGATCAACAAGCTCATATAGGTTTCAGGTGTAAGCTTCTGTAAGACCTAAATATTGCAAGAGAACATAGCATTTTAAGTAACCATTTTTAGAAAATGGTTGGAAAACTTAGCTGTAGCCTAAGAACTAATATTGCTAAAACCTTTTTATGTCACATTGAGATACTTCTCAGTTTGCAAAATAGGAATAGGGAAGAAGATAGCTTAGCTATACTTTTCTCCTAAATGAGTAAGTAAAAGGACTAATAAATGTCAGATGGTTTCTTGCTAATAACTTAAAACATGCTTTAAAAAAACATCTGGCAATTTGTTTAGGTCTACTGATTATGTTAAGTTTGTAACATGGAATGGAAAAATCCATTGAATATTATTTTCACTCAGACAAAACAATATTTTGAGGGAAATGAGGCATCACCACCACCTGGTGGCAGTATTATCAAAAATTTAGGTTTGAGCTTTTAGGAATGAATATATCTAAAGGTAGACAAGTCTAAACACCTAAAATTAGTAAGAAATGGTTAATGTCACAGTGAAAAGACATTTTATGTCCAACTTCAAATTCTACATCTTATGAGGAGGATACAATTTTGAAATAGCAAAATTTGGCATGTGCTTCCATCACTAAAAGTTTGTGGTACAGCCCGGCTGGAGTTGCTCATTGGTTGAGCATCCTCCCATGAACTGAGATGAGAGGTCGCCTTCTTGATTCTCAGTCATGCCTGCGGTGCAGGAGGCAGGCAGACAGTGATTCTCATCACTGATATTTCTATCCTCTATCTCAAATCAATAAAAACATTTTTTAAAAGAAAAGTTTGTGGTATAAAATGAATAAAGGAAATATCCTGCTGATGAACAGAAGGAAAAGTGTAAACTAAGATTTAAAGTATACGAATGAAATCACTAAATGGATCTATTGAACAGGTTCTGTCCAGAAATTAGAAGCAATAGTTCTCAATAGTTATGATGTTATCAGGGTAAGTAAACAAGAAGGGAAGTCAATATAAGATTGGACTTATTGTTTTACTACCATTTCTATTAATCGCTCGTTATATACTAACATTTTTACTCAATGTGTATTTTTTTGATAGTATATTTAGTAAGGTAAGGAAAGAAATATGAGGACAAAAATTATTTAGCTGCATTAGAAAAAGAATGAACTGGTAAATCAATCTGTCTGTAAAACCAAGAACTCATAGATTCATTTATTCTTATTCTTAATTTTGAAAGAATACTTAATAATTATTAAGGAACTTAGTATGACCAAAGGGACTGCCTACTTACTTACTAAAGTTTTATTTACCACTACTTATGACTTAATGATCAAAAGACAAAACTATTTGGCATGGAACACAAACTGTTCAAAAGAAACAGTATATACTATCAGATCCTTTATTTTTTAATCCTCACCTGAGGACATTATTCCATTGATTTTTAGAGACATGGAAAAGGGGGGGAAAGACAGAAACATCGATTGGTTGTCTCCTGTACGAGTCCCAACTAGGGCCCAGGCCAGGGAGGAGCCTACAACCAAGATATATGTCCTTGACCACAATTGAACCCGGGACCCTTAGGTCCACAGGCCAGCGCTCTATCCACTGAGCCAAACCGGCTAGGGCTAAGATCCTTTCTTTATAAGTCTAAAGAAACATGTGAGGGCAGATTAACTGGCATGTTTTAAAAAGCTAAGGAATAAAGGCATTCCACTCATTATTTTGAGTCTCATGAGAAATGACATATAAGGAGTGCTATTTTGCCCGAGTTCAGTCCATTTCAATTTTTTACCAGTGAGAAATATTGCAAGAAAAAAGCAAAGCTTTAAAAAATGATCTTTAATGAAAAATATAAAAATACAATTCTGCAATCTTTGAAACATGATTTATATGTTCAGCAAGTCTTGAGAGATTCCCAATGTACAATAATCCTGTTTATGTGTATTTTTTACTTACACATTAAACGATACATCTGATTTATTTGACAGTAATATTTATGATGCTGACATCCTCATAGGGCTTATCTGTTTTGGGATTGACTTTGACATTGGAGATCCTTTGTACAACT